CACCGGCAACACAACCCACACCAGCACTTAGACCCACACCAGCAACACAATTCATACCAGCAACACAACCCAAACCAGCAACACAACACACACCAGCTACACAACCCACACCAGCAACACAACCCACACCAGTAACACAACACACACCAGCACTTAGACCCACACCAGCAACACAACCCACACCAGTAACACAACACACACCAGCACTTAGACCCACACCAGCAACACAACCCACACCAGGCACTGTGTGCAACACAACTCATACCAGCAACACAACTCAAACAAGCACTGAGACCATCACCAGCAACACAACCCACACCAGCAACAGACCTTCATGGTGACACTGAAATTACCAAAACACTCTCAGTGTGAGAGTGTTTTGGAGCGTGTGCCTCCAGACAAGAGTTGCTTCAGTCCTGCACCTAGTTCTGTAGCTTAGGTCCTGGGTCTACAGCCTCAGTCCTGGGTCTACAGCCTCAGTCCTGGATCTACAGCCTCAGTCCTGGGTCTACAGCCTCAGTCCTGGGTCTGCAGCCTCAGTCCTGGATCTACAGCCTCAGTCCTGGGTCTACAGCCTCAGTCCTGGATCTACAGCCTCAGTCCTGGGTCTACAGCCTCAGTCCTGGGTCTGCAGCCTCAGTCCTGGATCTACAGCCTCAGTCCTGGGTCTACAGCCTCAGTCCTGGATCTACAGCCTCAGTCCTGGGTCTACAGCCTCAGTCCTGGATCTACAGCCTCAGTCCTGGATCTACAGCCTCAGTCCTGGATCTACAGCCTCAGTCCTGGGTCTACAGCCTCAGTCCTGGGTCTGCAGCCTCAGTCCTGGATCTACAGCCTCAGTCCTGGGTCTACAGCCTCAGTCCTGGATCTACAGCCTCAGTCCTGGGTCTACAGCCTCAGTCCTGGATCTACAGCCTCAGTCCTGGGTCTACAGCCTCAGTCCTGGATCTACAGCCTCAGTCCTGGATCTACAGCCTCAGTCCTGGATCTACAGCCTCAGTCCTGGATCTACATCCTCAGTCCTGGGTCTACAGCCTCAGTCCTGGATCTACAGCCTCAGTCCTGGATCTACAGCCTCAGTCCTGGATCTACATCCTCAGTCCTGGGTCTACAGCCTCAGTCCTGGATCTACAGCCTCAGTCCTGGATCATTAGCCCGTCTGTTGGTGTGGAGCAGATCCCTCTCTCTGTGTAAGTAAGTAAGTAGTAAGTAAGCTTTATTTATATACCGCCTTTCACAGACCAGAGTCACAAAGCGGTTTACAATTGTTATTTTTGGGCATTTGTCTCTCACTCCACACAGAGATGGGAGCGGGGTCGCCGAACAGGAGGCACATGCCAGACCTATTGTACATATTTTTAGTGGTAGGGGAAACCGGAGAACCCGGAGGAAACCTACGCAGACACAGGGAGAACATGCAAACTCCACTCAGAAATTCGAACCCAGGACCTTCTTGCTGAGAGGCGAGAGTGCTATCCACTCAGCCACCGTGCCGCCTGTGGATCTGAGGTTTCTCACTCTTCTCCCTCTGGGCTTCAGAGTTTTCCTCTGATGCAGGAGTCTGTTGGACCGTTAGTGTCTAACATAAGGACTTTGACCCTTTAATGTTCACCTTTGAAGAGATTCATGTGATGTCTCTTTTATAGATTTTCTAAGATGTGGGAGCACTCTCAACACACTTGGTTTTTATGTTGTTTTTAACCCCCAGTTTTTCAAATATAGGCCTTTTCCAAATGGTTGAGATGCAGTTTGATGGTAAAAGTAGGTGGACATTGGTCTCTCCCTATGGTCCTATACCATGTGTTCTTATATGTTTGTGTTTTAACTGTTGATTCTCTGTGTTGGTAATTTCAATGGTTCTGTTTAGTCTCTGAGATGATGCTGTTGTGATTTAGGGCGATACGATTAGTCTGGAGCGAGTCCTGGTTCTAAAACCCTCAGCTCCTGGTAAAGTGCAGTTATTTAAAGCAGGGTGATAGGTTGCAATCCTACAGAAAAAACAGAATCCCTCAGAGTCAGACAGTTCTCAGAGACACAGTGGATCGTACACAAACACAGACACAAACTGCGGCTGTTCTTGAGCTGAGTTTTATTTCTGTTTTGTTCCCGGTCCAAAAGAACAATAATGGTGTAATAAACCTGTTCCTGCGGCAGTTGTTTAAAGAAATAAACCCGTGATGTTTATGGCAGAAAAACACATGTGTATTTACAGCAGCTGTAAACTCCGCCTCATTGCTCTTTTAAACACAATCTTTAATTTATGATTTTATTTGACTCAAAAACAAAAGCATAAAGATCCTCCTCCGCCACACGTCCTCCGCTCTCTGCTTTTATAGGATTGTGTGCGCTCTAATTTATTAGCCTACCTTGATTCTCCGCGCGCTGGGTAATTAGATTTCCCTCTGGTTCTGGCTCTTGTTGTTTTTTCCATTCCATAAAACCATATTCAATTTCCTTAAGAAATATCAGGGGAGGCTGCTTCGTTTCATTTGTGCGGAAATTAATTTGTCAAAGTGAGAAATAGGATCTTAGCTAATCTGGTTAGCTCCTCCACGAGCTGCAGCCGCGAACGGCAAGAGATTCACTGTGTTCAAAGTGACGTGTGTTTAAAGTGACGTGTGCATAAAGTGACGTGTGCTTAAAGTGACGTGTGTTTAAAGTGACGTGTGTTTAAAGTGACGTGTGTTTAAAGTGACGTGTGTTTAAAGTGACGAGTGTTTAAAGTGACGTGTGTTTAAAGTGACGTGTATTTAAAGTGACGTGTGTTTAAAGTGACGTGTATTTAAAGTGACGTGTGCTTATAGTGACGTGTGCTTAAAGTGACGTGTGTTTAAAGTGACGTGTGCATAAAGTGACGTGTGCATAAAGTGACGTGTGCATAAAGTGACGTGTGTTTAAAGTGACGTGTGCATAAAGTGACGTGTGTTTAAAGTGACGTGTGCATAAAGTGACGTGTGTTTAAAGTGACGTGTGTTTAAAGTGACGTGTGTTTAAAGTGACGTGTGTTTAAAGTGACGTGTGTTTAAAGTGACGTGTGTTTAAAGTGACGTGTGCATAAAGTGACGTGTGTTTAAAGTGACGTGTGTTTAAAGTGACGTGTGTTTAAAGTGACGTGTGCATAAAGTGACGTGTGTTTAAAGTGACGAGTGCTTAAAGTGACGTGTGTTTAAAGTGACGTGTGTTTAAAGTGACGTGTGCTTAAAGTGACGTGTGCATAAAGTGACGTGTGTTTAAAGTGACGTGTGTTTAAAGTGACGTGTGTTTAAAGTGACGTGTGTTTAAAGTGACGTGTGCATAAAGTGACGTGTGCTTAAAGTGACGTGTGCATAAAGTGACGTGTGTTTAAAGTGACGTGTGTTTAAAGTGACGTGTGCATAAAGTGACGTGTGTTTAAAGTGACGTGTGCATAAAGTGACGTGTGTTTAAAGTGACGTGTGCTTAAAGTGACGTGTGTTTAAAGTGACGTGTGTTTAAAGTGACGTGTGCATAAAGTGACGTGTGTTTAAAGTGACGTGTGCATAAAGTGACGTGTGTTTAAAGTGACGTGTGTTTAAAGTGACGTGTGTTTAAAGTGACGTGTGCATAAAGTGACGTGTGTTTAAAGTGACGTGTGCATAAAGTCACGTGTGTTTAAAGTGACGTGTGTTTAAAGTGACGTGTGTTTAAAGTGACGTGTTCATAAACCAGACCTAGGACCCAGACCCATGACCAGGAACCAGACCCAGGACCAGAAATCAGAAACCAGACCCAGGAGCAGGAACCAGACCCAGGACCAGGAACCAAACCCAGGACCCAGGACTAGGAACCAGACCCAGGAACCAGGACCAGGAACCAGAACCAGGGACCAGACCCAGTACCCCAGCCCGTGTCTGTCTGGACCCTAGGCCAGTGTCCGAGTCCTAAGTACTACTATAAGAGTTTGTACGTGTGACCTTTGAAGTACTTTTCAAGTCAAAGCATCTAAGAAACATGGCCGCTACTACTTATTTAGTATATGTTGTGTGGTTCCTGTGTCTCTCACTACTGTCCTGCATGTGCGCTGCAACATTGAAATTTCCCCACTGTGTGACGAATAAAGGATTTCTTATCTTATCAATAAACAATGTGCCCAACGACAAACAACTAAAAACACTCTCGTAAAGAATATAATATAGAGCAAAGCCTTCGATAAAGAAACAAAGACTGTTCTTGACAAAGCTGCTGTGACTTTCATTTAGTCACTTTTCACACACACACACACACACACATAAACACACAAACGCACACAGAGACACACACAAACACACACACAGAAACACACACTGAAGCACTGTGGGACTGATCGATGATGTGATTGTGCAGAGAAGAGTGGAAGCACGAGGCAGACACACACCGTTCAGAAGGGTCACCACACACACACACGCAAACACAGACACACACACACACACACACACACATGAACACACACACACACAGACACACAGACACACACACACACAGACGCACACGCACACACACACAGACACACACACACACAGACACACAGACACACACACACAGACACACGCACACACACACAGACACACACACACACACACACACACACACACACAGACACACACACACACAGACACAAACGCACACACACACAGACACACGCACACACACACACAGACACACGCACACACAGACACACACACACACACAGACACATGCACACACAGACACACACACACAGACACACACCCACACACACACACATTCCTCTAGTCCCTGTACGTTGTTAGATAGTTGCAGCTGGACCGATGGCTGTTTGTTTTCACTGCATTCCATGTGTTTGAACAGTTTGATTCTCTGATCTGTCGTTGGTGAATCCACAACTTTGTAAAGTCCTTTTCTCGCCTGCTGCTGATTCAGGGCGGGACACAAATACATTGAATTGAATGAATGAAGACGTAACACACTCAATGTCATGGTTTGTTGTTGTTGTTTTGTGATTTCCTTCCTGTTGTGTGATGATCTCAGGTGTGGTGTGTGTTTAAACCTTGTGTGTTGGATGGATGAGAGCTAGATGGGTGAGGGTTGGGTGGGTGAGAGTTGGATGGGTGAGAGTTGGATGGGTGAGGGTTGGATGGGTGAGAGTTGGATGGGTGAGGGTTGGATGGGTGAGGGTTGGATGGGTGAGGGTTGGATGGGTGAGGGTTGCATGGGTGAGGGTTGGATGGGTGAGGGTTGGATGGGTGAGAGTTGGATGGGTGAGGGTTGGATGGGTGAGAGTTGGGTGGGTGAGGATTGGATGGGTGAGAGTTGGATTGGTGAGGGTTGGATGGGTGAGGGTTGGATTGGTGAGGGTTGGATGGGTGAGGGTTGGATGGGTGAGAGTTGGATGGGTGAGGGTTGGATGGGTGAGAGTTGGATTGGTGAGGGTTGGATGGGTGAGGGTTGGATTGGTGAGGGTTGGATGGGTGAGAGTTGGATGGGTGAGGGTTGGATGGGTGAGGGTTGGATGGGTGAGGGTTGGATGGGTGAGGGTTGGATGGGTGAGGGTTGGATGGGTGAGGGTTGCATGGGTGAGGGTTGGATGGGTGAGGGTTGCATGGGTGAGGGTTGGATGGGTGAGGGTTGGATGGGTGAGAGTTGGATGGGTGAGGGTTGGATGGGTGAGAGTTGGGTGGGTGAGGGTTGGATGGGTGAGAGTTGGATGGGTGAGGGTTGGATGGGTGAGAGTCGGATTGGTGAGGGTTGGATGGGTGAGGGTTGGATTGGTGAGGGTTGGATGGGTGAGAGTTGGGTGGGTGAGGGTTGGATGGGTGAGAGTTGGATGGGTGAGGGTTGCATGGGTGAGGGTTGGATGGGTGAGGGTTGGATGGGTGAGAGTTGGATGGGTGAGGGTTGGATGGGTGAGAGTTGGATGGGTGAGGGTTGCATGGGTGAGGGTTGGATGGGTGAGGGTTGGATGGGTGAGGGTTGGATGGGTGAGGGTTGCATGGGTGAGGGTTGGATGGGTGAGGGTTGGATGGGTGAGAGTTGGATGGGTGAGGGTTGGATGGGTGAGAGTTGGGTGGGTGAGGGTTGGATGGGTGAGAGTCGGATTGGTGAGGGTTGGATGGGTGAGGGTTGGATGGGTGAGGGTTGGATGGGTGAGAGTTGGATGGGTGAGGGTTGGATGGGTGAGAGTTGGGTGGGTGAGGGTTGGATGGGTGAGAGTTGGATGGGTGAGGGTTGCATGGGTGAGGGTTGGATGGGTGAGGGTTGGATGGGTGAGAGTTGGATGGGTGAGGGTTGGATGGGTGAGAGTCGGATTGGTGAGGGTTGGATGGGTGAGGGTTGGATGGGTGAGGGTTGGATGGGTGAGAGTTGGATGGGTGAGGGTTGGATGGATGAGAGTTGGATGGGTGAGAGTTGGATGGGTGAGGGTTGGATGGGTGAGGTTGGTGAGGGTTGGATGGGTGAGGGTTGGATTGGTGAGGGTTGGATGGGTGAGAGTTGGATGGGTGAGAGTTGGGTGGGTGAGGGTTGGATGGGTGAGAGTTGGATGGGTGAGGGTTGCATGGGTGAGGGTTGGATGGGTGAGGGTTGGATGGGTGAGAGTTGGATGGGTGAGGGTTGGATGGGTGAGAGTTGGGTGGGTGAGGGTTGGATGGGTGAGAGTCGGATTGGTGAGGGTTGGATGGGTGAGGGTTGGATGGGTGAGAGTCGGATTGGTGAGGGTTGGATGGGTGAGGGTTGGATGGGTGAGGGTTGGATGGGTGAGAGTCGGATTGGTGAGGGTTGGATGGGTGAGGGTTTGATGGGTGAGGGTTGGATGGGTGAGAGTCGGATGGGTGAGGGTTGGATGGGTGAGGGTTGGATGGGTGAGGGTTGGATGGACAAGGGCTGGATGGGTGAGGGTTGGATGGGTGAGGGTTGGATGGGTGAGGGTTGGGTGGGTGAGGGTTGGATGGGTGAAGGCTGGATGGGTGAGGGTTGGATAGTTGAGAGTTGGATGGGTGAGAGTTGGATGGGTGAGAGTTGGGTGGGTGAGGGTTGGATGGGTGAAGGCTGGATGGGTGAGTTGGATAGTTGAGAGTAGGATGGGTGAGGGTTTGATGGGTGAGGGTTGGATGGGTGAGGGTGATGGATCGCCTGCTCTCAGTGTTGTTATGAGGAGGAGGGTGGGGGGAATATGCCTCAAGGAGCCTGTAAAAGTGTCTCATTAATTACACTAAGAGCTAATGTGCTAATCTGTAACACACACTCACACAGACACACACACACCGACAGACATACACAGATACATGCACATGCACGGACACACACATCGACAGACACACACACACCGACAGACACACACACACACTGACAGACATACACAGATACATACGCATGCACGGACACACACATCGACAGACACACACACACACTGACAGACAATCATACCAACACACACATTCACACAGACACACACACACACACAATCACCTTAACAGACACTCACACACCCACCCACACACACCGACAGACATACACAGACACTCATACCAACACACACAGACACAAAAACAGGCACAGACACACACACCCACACACACAGACACAGACACACACACAGACACACACACATGTTACCCCTCGTTGAGACAGTTGAGGGTTCGTCAGTCGCTTCAGCAGTCTCCGTCATTAGTCACTCATTAAACCATCTTCAGATTAGATTCACACTGATCAGTGAATAATGGTTTTTATGTTGTGGCATTTCCAGGACGCACAACAACAACTTTAGTTTGTGTCAAATACAAAACTCTCTCAAACAAAAATACGTGTTTAGGTCGAATGGAAGGCCCTGGATTTTATCTGCATCAATATATTATATCTTTGGTTGGAACTGCTGTTGTGGTGCGCGTCATGTGACCTACACGGATCTGCGGCGACACAAAACGGTGATAGTTACGGCAAACTTCAAACATCAGCAGCAGCAGACATTCACCGACTCTTAAGTTTCCTCCAGGTGCTCCACTAAAAAACATGTACTGGCCTGCTGCGGCCAGTAGGGGGCAGTGGAACTTTACAACACGACACACACGACCCCCAGCAGTAGAACCAACAACAACATCCTCCTCAGGCCAAAGACGGGAAAGAACCAACATCCTTCTTTAACAGCAGCAGTGAAAGTGAAACTACAGCTGTGGTTGGATGGTTTCTAGACGTGAAATTATTAGTTTAAAAAAATTATCTGTGCTAATGGGAATGTGTAAGAAAACATCTTAACATCAAGACAGCACTAATTACCAAATTTGGCAACGAAGAATTTTTGCTTGTCACATAAATTAGTTAATGCATTAAACCCGTAGACTGTATCAACGGACGTAGTCACGCCTATCTCCGCCGTTCTAACTAATGGGCCAAAAACTGGGCTCTCATGGAGGGATTCAAAATGGCCGCGGGGCTGGAAAATGTGAAAAAACACATCTGTGCATGCGTCAGCTGCACGAGCCCCATTCATTTAAACGAGTGACTTCTAAAGTCCACAGCGAGTAAACTAGAGTGGTCCAGAACACCCCCCTCAGCATTGACACACATGTGGAACGGAGCTTTGGGCCAAGAGACAACTTTTGGACCATCCTGTATGTTTTTGAGAGGTAAGAAGATGCTATATGTTAGCATTGGCTAATTCTTATTCCGGGTCCACCCCCATCGGCCCGGGGTGGTATTGCATCATGTCCATGTCATGTCCATGTTTTGGACACTTTTGAGCCGGGACCCGCCCCCGCTGATTAAACCAAAAAGTCAGACTTCTTTTGAACTTTAGGTGCAGATTTGTAACCGAGGGCGCTCCGGGGTTAAATCCGGCCTGGTCTCGGCCTCGTCAGCTCCGACACACAAACAGAAACACACATCAGGAGATTGAATTACGCAGGACAGTCCGGCGGCTTTTGAGTGACTGACTTTCATGTAATGGTGCCGCAGTCCTTTATGCTCGGTGCGAGTCTCCTCCGCCGTGACCTCAGGCAGTATTTCCTCTGTCACCGTGGAACCGAGCGAGTGTGAATCAGACGGCACCAAGGCCCGCGCCGTCACTCAGCCGCGGCCGCATCAGGGAAATAAATAAGTCCAGTCTGTGTGCGGGGACGAGCGAGGTGGAGGAGGATCATGTGGTCAGTGCTGAAAACACACTGGGGCTGTAGAGAGGAGAGATCTCAAACCAAGTGGACTTTATAATATCTATGATGACGCCCTCACCTTCAAACCCCATACTCACTATCTTGTAAAGAAGCTTAAAGCTGCATTACCTGACTTTATTTTTGTATTTATTACAAAAATTCAATCAATATCCTTCAGTGCATTGGGATATACGTCCTTTTGAAGAAAAAGAAGCGCAGATTTGTGCTGGCGTGTCATTTTACTTTAGACCGAGTTTTGGTAAAACAAGGAAGAGAATGTGTTTCGGGACCAGATTGTGACCAATCACAGCGGACCACTGGCCCCCACTTTCTTGAGAAAAGCCACAGGTCTGTGGTTAGCACAGACAGCTGAGGTAAACAAACGGCGGAGGCTAACCTGAAACTTCCCGTGTCTTCGTCACCGGTTGCTGCTTACTCAGCGAAACATCCAAAAGAAAGTCTCGTTCCTCCGCGCTTCCCGGTTCTATCATTCTATGGTCACGCCACGTTCAGATGTGAGATGTGAGCGCCGTAAACAGCACATGTGCAGCTGAGGGGGAGGGGGGTTGTGGGGGGCGGTAGCTCCGTGAGTGCGCGGAGGGCGAGCAGAAAGAGCAAGGCCAGCGCTCACATTGGAAAATTTCACAAAATGAGTTAGTGCAACTTTAAACTTTGATAGGGTTTTTTTTTTAAATAAATATTGTTTTTATTTTCATAAAAGTGGCTAGTCACCGCAACATTTGTATCTATTTTAGATCATAGAGACCTGATGTATATGAATCTGCTGGGGCGGGTCCTGGCTCCAAAAAGTCCAGGAGCACATATGCTGACATGCTGCAATACCACTCAGGGCCGGTGGGGGTGTACCCGGAACAAGAATTACCCAATGGTTTTGTATGATGTCTCTTTTCCTCTTGATGTCTTTATACAATGGTCCAAAAGTCGCTCTTGGTCCAACTTCTGTTTGCTCCTGGTCCAACTCGGTTCCAGGCCCTGTCCACACGTAGCCATATATGTCTTTACCCTGAGTTTCTTCTATGACTACAAAAGTGCCGCAACAGAAGTACAGGCGTCAGCATCAAAGCTCCGCCCACTTCTGTGGTTTATCCCCAACGCAGGACGTCAGAGGACGCTCATGTTTGGAATGTTAAGGATGTGATTGAAAACGCAGATGTTCGTTATGTGTGGATGCAAATTTTTTTATAAACGGAGGGGGGGAAATATTCAGTTTTAATAACACCTGGCTACGTGTGGACATGGTATTTACATGAGTATTTATTTAGAACAGTCTCGTTTAGTCGCTGTGGACTTCAGAATGCACTCGCCAAATGAATGGGGCTCGTGCCGGCTAACGCATGCTCAAATGCATTTTTTCACATCCTTCTACATGGGTTGCAAAAGACAGACTTATTTCACTGAACGCTCTAAGTCCGGATTGAGAGCACTAGAGACGTCCTCATCGACATTTAGCTATTTTTATAATCTGTAATGTATGTAATTGTGTGTAACTTTTGTCCAGGACTCCCTTAAAAAAAGGGGTTCTTAATCTCATTGGGACTTTGCTTTGCGTACACGGCCACGATGACGGTTTTAAATGCTCCTGAGAGTAAAAATACCTGCTCTGTTCTTTGACGTACCTCGGGAATTTGATACTAATGATCACTCTCTTATGATGATGTGAATCTGGCAAATCAAGCATGTGTCAAATAATCACAACGCATCCATTCTATTTCCATTTCCATTCCATTCTGGTCATAGGCTCATTTTTATTTTTGGTTTTGGGGCATAAACCTTGTCCTCAAAGGAGAGCAAAACAACACTCTCCTTTTTTTTGGTTTGATAGTGATATATATAACATTTAAGACTCATTTCAGCAAAAGCAGACCAAATTGGAAAACAAGATAGCAAAACAAAGTTTCCTTGGTTAGTTTAGGGACGAAGACTGAGCTCAGAGGAAGTGGATTCTGGCTTCAAACTTCACGCCTCAAGTGAGTCCAGTCTGACCCTGGAGACCTGAGTCTGTTTGCTCCTGCTGTTGGAATGTAATCCTACAGCCACTCGGTCCTTTGAGGACCGGTTTGAGACCTCTGATGTAATCTCTCTGACATCTCTAATAATCTGCCAAATTCTCCTCATCCTGTGTTTGCTGTTGATACTGCACTGGTGTGGAGCACTTCTGTTGTTTTTCCATCGTCCAATCTCGCCTTCATTCACTGAAATGAGCTTTAAATGCTGAAAAAACGAAGTAAATGCCACTGTCAGATCAAAATGAGCTTCAAGAGAAGATCCCTGAGATAATAACTGCAGCAGAAACAAATTGAATCGGTCCACAGTTACAAATATCTTGGTTCTGTTATTGATCCAGGGCGGTCTTTTAAAGAGCATTGTTTTTCTCATTGGCAAATTACTCTTAAAGCATCGAAACACTTTGTAAGAGCAACATTCTTACCATTGATTAATTATGAATGTATATTATATACAGTACAGACCAAAAGTTTGGACACCCATTCTCATTCATAGAGCTTCCTTTCTTTTCATGACTATTGCTGTAGATCCACACCAGGCTGTGTCAGGGCTGTTTGACCAATAAGGAGAGAGATGGTGCTGAGCCACATGACCTCCACAGTCACCGGACCTGAACCCAGTCCAGATGGTTTTGGACCTGAACCCAGTCCAGATGGTTTTGGACCTGAACCCAGTCCAGATGGTTTTGGACTTGAACCCAGTCCAGATGGTTTTGGACCTGAACCCAGTCCAGATGGTTTTGGACTTGAACCCAGTCCAGATGGTTTTGGACCTGAACCCAGTCCAGATGGTTTTGGACCTGAACCCAGTCCAGATGGTTTTGGACCTGAACCCAGTCCAGATGGTTTTGGACTTGAACCCAGTCCAGATGGTTTTGGACTTGAACCCAGTCTAGAAGGTTTTGGGGCTGGACCACAGAGTGAAGGGGCCAACAAGTGCTAAGCATCATGGGAACTCCTTCAAGTCTGTTGAAGACCATTTCAGGTCCTCTTGAAGCTCATCCAGAGAAAGCCAAGAGTGAAGCAGTATCAGAGCAAACTAGCTACTTTGAAGAACCAGAATATAACACATAATTTCACTTGGTTCATACTTTTTTAGTACCTACATAATTCACATGAGTTCATTCATAGGTTTGATGCCCTCAGTGTGAATCTACAATTTTCATAATCATTAAAATAAAAAACTCTTTGAATGAGAAGGTGTGTCCAAACTTTTGGTCTGTTCTGTATGTCGGCCTCCTCCAGTTGCGTATGGTCTTAGAACACAGTGTATCTTTCAGCTGTGAGGTTTTTAACGGCTGCAAACACTGGGTCTCCAAGATAGGATAGACTTTATTGATCTCACACAGGATAGGATTGATAGAATCTCTCAGATTGTGCAAAAAGAAAGAACTGTGCAAACATGTTAAAAGCAGGATCTATTCTGTACAATTAAAAGTGGCAGTCAAGAAACAGTGTCAATAGTAGTGCAGGTTTTTCAGTCCTAATACAAGTGACTTAAAGTGACTTATTGTACAGTCTGACAGCGGTGGGGATAAAGGCCCTGCGGCAGCGCTCCTTGTACTGAGGGTGTCTCAGTCTTTCACTGCTCATTCACCATACAGGTCTCAAACATTAGCAGAAGTGACATGTTCTGGTCAGCTCTGGTTCTCCTGGTCCTGTGCAGTAGGAGCAGTGGTTGCAGTGGTGATGTCACCTCAATTGAAACACTTGGATGTGTGCTCCTGTGTCTGTGAGCCCAGCTCCGCCACAGCCTCACGCGGCGTCACCGTTTACAGAGAGTTAGTAGCACTGAACATACAGATTGGGGCTTTGCGTTAGCGTCTGTGATTGAGGGAATAACACAGGTTTCCAGATCAGTTTTTTGTTTAGGACCTGTTTCAAGGTAAACTTTGGTGAAGTGTCTCTCGCAGAAAATGTCAGAATTTCAGAAGCAGCTCTTGTGAATTATATGTCTTCGGGCTGATTACTGTCTTCACATATTTCCTTCCAAAAACACATTTTCTCCAAGTCACATGATGCTAACACAAAACAGCCCAGTCTCTCAGTGGTAGACCTGGGACCAAACTAACATTCACAGTCTATGGACCAGACCCTGGCCTCAGAGGCTGCGTGCTCCGATCATAGACTGCGCTGATTCGCTAAGAAGAAGCTATCTACAGCTAGTTATGTTCGCTAAGAAACATAGCTACTACTTAATTGTATATATTGTGTGTGCTCCTTGTGTGCTCTTACTACTGTCCTATATGTGCGCTGCAACATCGACATTTCCCCACTGTGGGACGAATAACGGAATTCTCATCTTATCTTAAATAAAATAAAAGGTATATCTGCTGACATGTTCTAAAGGTGTCAAACTAGTTCCGGAAAGACTCCACCCATCTCCTCAAGTCTCCAGGTCAAGACCGGACTCACCTGAGGACATGAGTGGAGTTTGAGGTGGGATGGATTATTTCCGCGCAATGAAGTGCTCACTGAAATACACACTTAGACAGATTTGTGAACTCTGTCTGATAGAGATGAGTCCATGGAGCATATACAGCTTAACTAACAGACATGACATTACTCTAGTACAGCTCAGCAAAGTACTATTTCTCTAAAAGTTATACTAAAGTCATTGCTGTATTTTATGAGGAGTGCGCAGTGCGAGGTGGGCGGGGCCACGGGAGAAGGTTTCTTAGGGGTGAAATTGTGATTGGTAGGCGAGGTGATGTCATGTCATCCATCTTAGGAAGCCACTTCATTAGGCTAATGGAAGGGCTGGCCGATCGCTGCTGCCTATGAGTGTGTGTGTGTCTGTGTGTGTGTGTGTGTGTGTGTGTGTGTGTGTGTGTGTGTGTGTGTGTGTGTGTGTGTGTGTGTGTGTGTGTGTGTGTGTGTGCAGTCTTCGTCCTTTGCGGTGATGGCACTGTCCAAGGCTAAAGTGGTTATGAAGACTGAGGCTCCTTTATTGGCCGGGCACACAGCCATTATGCAGGATGGACAGTGTGTGTGTGCGTGTGTGCGTGTGTGTGTCTGTAAGTGTGTGTGGGCGCTGCAGAGATAAGTAAAAGCCTGTGAGATGTGTGTGAAAATGAGCATCTTCTGTCTCTGGGCAGAGTTGCTCCCAAACGTCTCTTTGAACCAGTAAAAGCCTTGTCAATTACAGAGTCTTCCTCACAAAGATGAGCTGGTTGCTGTTTTTCCCGGCACGGCCCGACTCTGCATCACATTCATACATCCTGGATATTAGGGACAGACTAAACCCTTTCCATTAGCTGCTCTTGGAGTCGAACCATCGGGGAGTGAGGAGCCCAGAGAAACCCGGCCCCTCCTTCTTTTGATGAAGACCGACCTCATGTTCCGGGAGATGATCGTAGAAGCTGGAGCAGAGCCCTGTTTTACCGTCACAACTTTGATTTGTGTATTTTAGAATTATCGGATTTGAGTGGGGGGGCACGGTAGCTGAGTTTGCACTCTCGCTTCACAGCTAAGGTCCTGGGTTCAAATCCCAGTGGGAACGAGGCCTTTCTGAGTGGAGTTTGCATGTTCTCCCCATGTCTGCGTAGGTTTCCTCTGAATGCTCCGGTTTCCCCTTCCACTAAAAACATGTACAATAGGTCTGGCATGTGCCTCCTGTACTGACCCCGCCCCCATCTCTGTGTGGAGTGAGAGACTAATACCTAACGTACATCGGACTGGCAACTGATTATATCCGTCGCATATGAGTTGCTGCACATATCGACAATCTGGTGAAAACGGGCGACTCCTGTATCAGGTCAGTCTGGGGAATAACAGCGCTGGCCTCAACTACAGTGTGTTTTCTCAGATAAACTGTAGAGGGCGCAATACACACAATATACACATGTTGTTGGAGCGCGCACATAGGTGATATCTCCGGATCTGAGGACAACTAGTTGCAGAAAAGTAGAACACGGGCAACTGACTGAATCCGGAGATTGACTGTTTATCTCCAGTTGTAAGAGCGCTCACATCGACCGATTTCTACTGATCATCTCCATCATCTACTCTCAGTCGCCAAAAGCCGCCTTCAACCAGTTGTCTCCAGTTACTCTGGCGATGTACGCTAGGCCAAATGCCCACAATTGTAAACTGCTTTGACTCTGGTCTGTGAAAGGCACTATTTAAATAAACTTACTTATTTGTGAGTTTACTGCTATTTTATCCTAAAAATCCTCAGATAGGAACCTTTGTTTTTGTTTTCTGTTTCCTGCAACGTTAATTGAGATACGCAAGTCCACATGTTAACAGAGTCCAAACCAGTCCAGAAAGGGTCGGCACTAGATCATAAACGGAATCGGGACGAAACAGAAAGTAACAATCCTACTTTCGAATTAGTTTTAGACTAATAAGTCCTTAGGTGGTGACTGGTTAAGTTTTAGGCGTCTGAGTAAGATGGTTAAGGTTAGGGTTAAGGTGGTCTGATTAAGATGGTTAAGGTTAGGGTTAAGGTGGTCTGAGTAAGATGGTTAAGGTTAGGGTTAAGGTGGTCTGAGTAAGATGGTTAAGGTGAGGGTTAAGGTGGTCTGAGTAAGATGGTAAGGTTAGGGTTAAGGTGGTCTGAGTAAGATGGTTAAGGTTAGGGTTAAGGTGGTCTGAGTAAGATGGTTAAGGTTAGGGTTAAGGTGGTCTGAGTAAGATGGTTAAGGTTAGGGTTAAGGTGGTCTGAGTAAGATGGTTAAGGTGAGGGTTAAGGTGGTCTGAGTAAGATGGTAAGGTTAGGGTTAAGGTGGTCTGAGTAAGATGGTTAAGGTTAGGGTTAAGGTGGTCTGAGTAAGATGGTTAAGGTTAAGGTTAAGGTGGTCTGATTAAGATGGTTAAGGTTAGGGTTAAGGTGGTCTAAGTAAGATGGTTAAGGTTAGGGTTAAGGTGGTCTGAATAAGATGGTTAAGGTTAGGGTTAAGGTGGTCTGATTAAGATGGTTAAGGTTAGGGTTAAGGTGGTCTGATTAAGATGGTTAAGGTTAGGGTTAAGGTGGTCTGATTAAGATGGTTAAGGTTAGGGTTAAGGTGGTCTGATTAAGATGGTTAAGGTTAGGGTTAAGGTGGTCTGATTAAGATGGTTAAGGTTAGGGTTAAGGTGGTCTGATTAAGATGGTTAAGGTTAGGGTTAAGGTGGTCTGAGTAAGATGGTTAAGGTTAGGGTTAAGGTGGGTCTGAGTAAGATGGTTAAGGTTAGGGTTAAGGTGGGTCTGAGTAAGATGGTTAAGTTTAGGGTTAAGGGTGGGTTGGGGTTATTCTATGGGAATGGCTGGTTAAGTTTAGGCATGAATAGGTAGTTTGTTGTATTTACGTCCGCTTCCGTCCCGATTCCGTGTATGATCTAGTGCTGACCGTCCAGAAAGGGCCTCTGGTTCGGACAGAGAGGAGCAGACTCCGCCCATTTCCTGTGAATTCAGTCATAACCTGAAGAAACTTGAACTGAGGATCTGGAGAATCGTGACACCCTGAATGTGTAGAAAGTTTAAATGCATTATTCTAGCGTTTTGTGTTTCTAATTGTGCTTTATATTACTTATTTTCAGTTTGGCGTTGGCGTAGTTCTGCTACATGCTTTTCACGTTGCACCAAATACTATTGTGTACAAGCTTTAATACAGAACAGAGCCTGCACTGCAAAAAGTGGCTCCAAAATAACAGGGAAAGTATTTGCTGTTGGAGGAAATGTTTGAGGCAAAATGATCTCCAGTGGATCAGGATGTTTGCACCTGTTAAGATTTTTTGAAACAAGAGAAAAATATGAATAACTACGAATATTATCTTAAATATCTTCAGCTGCAGGAGTTAAAAAGATATGTTTGGATAAATCCACTGAAATGAAGTGAACTACTCTTCATCGACTCAGATCCTTCTGTGTTTTAAGTCGCAGCACATCTCTGAAAGACTGATCTGATCTGAAACAAACAGAGCTGCTCCTATTTCACTGAACACACACTGGTTTCTCTTGTGCAAAGACGGCGGTGGAGAGATTGGTGCCGCCGCAGCAGCCGCAGCAGCCGCAGCGCCTGAAACTCACTCATTCATTTTGCTCGGCGTCCTGTGAGACGTTGACGACCGCTGTGCGATGAGGTTAGCCACATTAGCAGATTAGCATTAGCATTTTTTACCAATAACTCTTGTGTAGGATTTATTTTCTAATCTGCTAATGGAAAATGAACAAATGCAGAAAGATTTGATTTCTAAGGTGTCCTGGAGGATTATTCACATCTGCAGGAAATGTTCAGTAACATTTTACATTTAGTCATTAAAGGAATAGGCCACCGTTTTTACATTGTGACCATAGACTGTATCAACGGACAGAGTCACGCCTATCTCTGCCGTTCTAACTAATGGGCCAAAAAATGTGCTCTACTGAAGTAAGTAAGTAAGTAGTAAGTAAGTAAGTTATTATTTATATACCGCCTTTTCACTGCAGATCTGAGTCTCAAAGCGGTTTACAATTGTTAATTTTGGGCATTTGTCTCTCACTCCACACAGAGATGGGAGCGGGGCCAGTACAGGAGGCACATGCCTGAACTATTGGACATATTTTTAGTGGTAGGGGAAACCGGAGTACCCGGAGGAAACCTACGCAGACACGGGGAGAACATGCAAACTCCACTCAGAAAGGCCCTGGTCCGGCCGGGATTCGAACCCAGGACCTTCTTGCTGAGAGGCGAGAGTGCTATCCACTCAGCCACCGTGCCGCCCATACTGAAGCTATGCAAAATGGCCGCGAGTGGTCCCGCCCACAAGAAAATTGTGAAAAAACGCATCTGCGCATGCGTCAGCCGGCGAGAGACCCATTCATTTGAACGAGAGACTTCAAAAATTCACAGCAAAAAAATCCACCCCCTCAGCTTTGACACACATGTGGAACTGAGCTTTGGGCCAAGAGCCAACTTTTTGTCCATCCTGTAAAGACGTTTTCGAGAGGTAAGAAGATGCTATATGTTAGCATTAGCTAATTCTTATTCTGGGTCCACCCCCATCGGCCCGGGGTGGTATTGCAGCTTGTCAGCGCACATCATTTTGGCCACTTTTGTGCCGGGACCCGCCCCCTCTGATACTGACATATGTTCTTACCTTGCCTTAGACTAGTTGATATGTACCTGTCTGGTCTTTGTCCGTGCGCTCTCTCCCGCTCACTTCCGTCAATAGAAGCAGCGTGAGCGGGAGAGAAGTCTTTAGGAGTTAGTGCGCGGACGTAGTGCTCCTCGTATTATTACGCCTCACAATATAGTTCCTCTTTTTATCCGCTGAGAAAATGGACATGTTACATTTCTGTGTTACTATACTTTGTAGAGTAACACGTCACATAACTGTATTTAAATAGGGAACACGTGGAAGAGTTTGGTAGCTTCTAACGGGAGCTGATTTGGAACTATACAGTCTGTGGAAGAGGCTGCTGTGCTGCGTTTGCATGACAGAGCACACGGACACTAGTCTAAGGTAAGAACATGTGTCAGTATGTAAAAAGAGTGGCCTGTTCCTTTAACTGCTAAATAAGTGGTTGATGAAATATATAACATTTATGGACCTTGTCCTTTCCCCTTTATGTGTTTGTGATCATCGCACTTCCTGTGTTTCAACTGTTTGATTTTCTGATCTGTGTCGGCGAATCCACAACTAAAGTCTAAACTGCTGTTGAGGTTTAGGGTCATGCAAGGATACATTGAATTGAGCCTTCTCCAACTCCTCCTCCAGTTCCACCTCTATGGAAGATTTTTTGTGTCATCAGATTTTGAATTTTTTTTTGCTTGAATTCTTCAGTTTGAAATTTTTAACTCTGAAAAAGCAAGTTTGAATATTTTTATCTTTACATTTCAGTCACTAAAAATTCAGTTTACAAATTTCAATGTGATTAAAATTTCAAAATGACAAATTCACCCTCAAAATATTCAAAAAAATTTTTTTTAATGAAAAAAAAAAAAGACGGATTATTTGTCCCATCAGAAATTGAATTTTAAATGGACCTGAATTCATCTATTTGAATGTTTTTTTCTGTGAATTTCAGTCACTGATTATCAATTTCATAATGTTAAATTCAAAAGTCAAAATTCAACGAGAAAAAATTCAATGGTGAAAAATGCACACGACACATCCGGTGTTCTGACGAGTTATGTGCTCTGTCAGTTGCTCTGTTTTCTCTTCACTGACGTTGGAATCTCTCGTTATCTACATTAGACCCTTTAGAACTAATGGAGATTTTGTTAACTTAGAATATTTACTCTCTCTCTCTCTAAGAGAGAGAGAGAGAGAGAGAGAGAGAGAGAGAGAGAGAGAATTTCGCTTTGTTTACGGAGCGAGTGGAGCCGAAAGAGCACGTAACTTTTCACAGCTCAAGAAATATGCAGCCATACGGTGTTCTTACCGTTGTTACTTTATTTCAGAGACAACTCAGCAAATATCATTTAGTGTACAAGAGTTCAAGCTGTGGAATACATGTTTTTTGTTAATTCCTTTACATGGAACTCTTTTTCAAGTAACACGAGTGAGCCCTGTGGAAACTGCTACACGGGAAACTAGACCCAAATACTGTGTAACGTTACCAACAATAACACTGTCCTTTGTTGCTATAAATGTTCAAATGTGATGGTTTTCATGAACACAAACAAACACACACAGCCTAAATAAATAAACAGGAATATACAGCTATAATTATTTGAAACGAACACATTTACCCAAAAAGACTAACTCATCAAATTAATGTAGTATCATCTTGTTATTCGCCTTGGTTTCATTACAATCCATTCATTAGAAATCCCATATCAACCTGTTAGATTCATGTTATCAACCGATGGACCTGCTGAAAGCTAGCGCCTGTCTTTACCTCAGTAAAATGACGCATGCGCAGACCAACTGACAGACCAACTGACAGAGCAACTGACAGAGCAACTGACAGACCAACTGACAGACCAACTGACAGAGCAACTGACAGAGCAACTGACAGAGCAACTGACAGAGCAACTGACAGACCAACTGACAGACCAACTGACAGACCAACTGACAGAGCAACTGACAGACCAACTGACAGACCAACTGACAGACCAACTGACAGAGCAACTGACAGAGCAACTGACAGAGCAACTGACAGACCAACTGACAGAGCAACTGACAGAGCAACTGACAGAGCAACTGACAGAGCAACTGACAGAGCAACTGACAGAGCAACTGACAGAGCAACTGACAGAGCAACTGACAGAGCAACTGACAGAGCAACTGACAGACCAACTGACAGAGCAACTGACAGACCAACTGACAGAGCAACTGACAGACCAACTGACAGAGCAACTGACAGACCAACTGACAGAGCAACTGACAGAGCAACTGACAGAGCAACTGACAGAGCAACTGACAGACCAACTGACAGAGCAACTGACAGAGCAACTGACAGAGCAACTGACAGAGCAACTGACAGAGCAACTGACAGAGCAACTGACAGACCAACTGACAGACCAACTGACAGAGCAACTGACAGAGCACACAACTCGTCAGAACACCGCCTGTGTCATGTACATTTTTCACCATTGAATTTTTTCTTGTTGAATTTTGACTGTTGAATTTGACATTATGAAATCGATAATCAGTGACTAGAATTCACAGAAAAAAATATTCCAGATGTTAAAAACATTCAAATAGATGAATTCAGGTCCATTTAAAATTCAATTTCTGATGGGACAAATAATCCGTCTGTTTTTTTTACATTGAAAAAAAAAAAAATTTGAATATTTTGAGGGTGAATATGTCATTTTGAAATTTTAATCACATTTAAATTTGTTAACTGAATTTTTAGTGACTGAAAAGTAAAGATAAAAATATTCAAACTTGCTTTTTCAGGGTTACAAATTTCAAACGGAAAAATTCAAGCTAAAAAAAATTCAAAATCTGATGACACATAAAATCTTCCATACACCTCCCCCTGCTCCTCCTCCATCACTTCCTCCTCCTGCTCTTCCTCCAGCTCCTCCTCCAGCGCTTCCTCCTCCAGCGCTTCCTCCTCCTGCTCCTCCTCCTCCAGCTCCTCCTGCTCCTCCTCCAGCGCTTCCTCCTCCTGCTCCTCCTCCTGCTCCTCCTCCTGCTCCTCCTCCAGCGCTTCCTCCTCCTGCTCCTCCTCCTCCAGCTCCTCCTGCTCCTCCTCCAGCGCTTCCTCCTCCTGCTCCTCCTCCTCCTGCTCCTCCTCCTCCAGCTCCTCCTGCTCTTCCTCCAGCGCTTCCTCCTCCCCCTACTCCTTTAGCTCCTTTACTTTTCCAAGACTTTTTCTGTTGACACGTACAACATGTGTGGGCGACAGTAGCTCAGTTGGTAGAGAATTGGCCTTTGGGCCTGAAGGTTGTGGGTTCGAGCCCACCATGAGACCTACATCACGACTCCCACTGTAGTCTGCTGTCGTTGTGTTCTGAGGAAAGATCTCAGCTCCTGTGGACTCACCACCTGCAGGAGGATCAGAGAGGGGCTGGTGCTCTGACTGCCACCCCCGACCCAGAAATGGATTAAGGGGAAGAAAATTGTCGGATAGATGTTCAACATGTGGTGCCACCTGCAGGTGGAAGCCTCAGGCCTCTGAAGGGCCTGGATAGTTCTGTGAGTCTGTCAGTGCCTTGGATTCTCGGATTCGGAGGGTTCTGCTGACAGCACATGGACCTTATCAATTATTCAAATGGAGAAAATTGCTCGTTACTCTCTGATTTAATTAGACGCAGGAGAAAGTGTAATTTACTAAAACAGCAGCTACACACACTGTAGAATCTACTAGAATTATAATAATAATAATAATATTATTATTATTGTTATTATTATTATTAAAATAACTCTTTAACACATTTATGTTCATAATATATCGCGCAAATGACACTTATTTACAAAACAGAAATCAGACCATGCTGACCCAGATACTTTGATAATAATGTCAAGGTTGTGATCGGAGAGAGGGACCACAGAGAAACTAGAAAAAGGACCAGAAGGAGACCAGAGAGAGACTATATAGAAAGACCAGAAGGAGACCAAAGAGAGATCAGAGAGAGACCAGAGAGACCAGAGAGAGATCAGAGAGAGACCAGAGAGACCAGAGAGAGACCAGAGAGACCAGAGAGAGACCAGAGAGACCAGAGAGAGACCAGAGAGAGACCAGAGAGAGACCAGAGAGACCAGAGAGAGACCAGAGAGAGACCAGAGAGAGGATTTCTAAATACTTACTTGCGTCTCCTCATAATTTCCACTAGCTCTGCTAGTCCCTGTGCTCTGCTGGTCCCTGTGCTCTGCTGATCCCTGTGCTCTGCTAGTCCCTGTGCTCTGCTGGTCCCTGTGCTCTGCTGGTCCCTGTGCTCTGCTGGTCCCTGTGCTCTGCTGATCCCTGTGCTCTGCTAGTCCCTGTGCTCTGCTGATCCCTGTGCTCTGCTGGTCCCTGTGCTCTGCTGGTCCCTGTGCTCTGCTGATCCCTGTGCTCTGCTAGTCCCTGTGCTCTGCTGATCCCTGTGCTCTGCTAGTCCCTGTGCTCTGCTGATCCCTGTGCTCTGCTGGATCTGTGCAGCCGTGTGTTTGCTCAGTCTCTGATGAGGCTGGATCCGTGTTTATTCTGCAAAGTTCCTCCATTATCTCAATAAACAAAACCAAAGACACACCACGCTAGCTAACGCCGCGCTAGCTGCCGCCGCCGCCGCGCACTATTTGCAGAATTCTTCTTCCATTAGAAATAATCCAATCAATATGTTAATGTGTCCATCTGCCGCTCTGCAAACCCAATGTCAGCCGAGTGGGTTAGAAATGTCACAGAGAGCCACAGATGAAGTTTAGAAGAAAAGTAAGATTAGCACAGTTTACACACACGGCGACTCCTCAAAGTGCCGAGGAAAACCAGAAAACAAATATTAAAACACAAGGCATTCAAATGATAATTAATCACAGTACATTAAAAAGAGTGAGATACAAACCTGGATTTACACATTGTCAGAGAAGAAGCCTGTCTCACATTTTCAGGGAGACTGTTCCAGATTTTAGCTGCATGAATCTGAAACGCTGCCTCCTCATGTTTAGTTCTGACTCTGGGACCAGCAGGAGGCCAGTCCCTGTGCTCCTCAGAGTCCCAGCAGGAGGCCAGTCCCTGTGCTCCTCAGAGTCCCAGCAGGAGGCCAGTCCCTGTGCTCCTCAGAGTCCCAGCAGGAGGCCAGTCCCTGTGCTCCTCAGAGTCCCAGCAGGAGGCCAGTCCCTGTGCTCCTCAGAGTCCCAGCAGGAGGCCAGTCCCTGTGCTCCTCAGAGTCCCAGCAGGAGGCCAGTCCCTGTGCTCCTCAGAGTCCCAGCAGGAGGCCAGTCCCTGTGCTCCTCAGAGTCCCAGCAGGAGGCCAGTCCCTGTGCTCCTCAGAGTCCCAGCAGGAGGCCAGTCCCTGTGCTCCTCAGAGTCCCAGCAGGAGGCCAGTCCCTGTGCTCCTCAGAGTCCCAGCAGGAGGCCAGTCCCTGTGCTCCTGTCACATGAGGCGGTGAGACCTCAGAGAGCGTGGCCTTTAGCGCCTCGCCTTGTCCCTCTCGCGCATCGATTATGTGCCGAGGCTAGCAGTGCGCCGCTAACCTTGAGCTAAGCTAGCGTAATGAGATGGCATCTGACGGAATCGACTGCTACGTGACGGGCTGACACCTCGGCCACAGGGAATGGGGGAGGAGGGGGGAGGACAGGGGGGGGGGGGGGGGGGGGGGGAGGGGAGGGGGGGGGGGGGAGAGAGGGAGGGGAGAGGGAGGGCAAAGGCTGTGGTTGATGGAGTGTGTGTACAAAGCAGGAGTCCAAACCGGATCTCTTTCCTTCTCTCATTGAACATGATTGAACTAAACACATGGAAGCCCGAGCGCTGAAGGGGTTAGAAAGTCTCCATCGTCTGCCACCGCCAGAAACACACAATCAGAATATTTGAGAGACCAGAGAGAGAGAGAGAGAGAGACCAGAAAGAGAAAGAGAGAGACCAGAAAGAGAGAGAGAGAGACCAGAAAGAGAGAGAGAGAGACCAGAGAGAGAAAGAGAGAGACCAGAGAGAGAGAGAGAGAGAGACCAGAGAGAGAGACCAGAGAGAGACCAGAGAGAGAGACCAGAGAGAGAGACCAGAGAGAGACCAACGAGAGACCAGAGAGAGAGAGACCAGAGAGAGAGACCAGAGAGACCAGAGAGAGACCAGAGAGAGACCAGAGAGAGACCAGAGAGAGAGACCAGAGAGAGACCAGAGAGAGACCAGAGAGAGACCAGAGAGAGACCAGAGAGAGACCAGAGAGAGACCAGAGAGAGAGACCAGAGAGAGAGACCAGAGAGAGACCAGAGAGAGACCAGAGAGAGACCAGAGAGAGAGACCAGAGAGAGAGAGACCAGAGAGAGAGACCAGAGAGAGAGACCAGAGAGAGACCAGAGAGAGACCAGAGAGAGACCAGAGAGAGACCAGAGAGAGAGACCAGAGAGAGAGAGAAGTTGGGAAGAGTTCTTACCAATCTCTTCCCAACGTCATGCTGCTGCTGCTGCTGCTGCTGCTGCTGCTGCTGATTGAGGCAGTGCAGATGGATGGGAGCGGGCCCCTCCATGACACTTCCAATACACGTCCAATTACAGCACACAGGTACCAGCAACATTTGTTTAACTAATACGACACGCGCCTCTAATCTTATTATGACTTTTCAATTTCACCGGAACGTCTGCGGAGCCTTCATTTCTCTGCAGCAGATATTGATATTGAAGATGTTTGTTCTGCGGTCAGAGGAGGAGAGAGCCACGGGGTCCCAAACCTGCCTCCAGAGGGGTCCACTCAGACTCTGTGGAGAAGGGACTGGAACTGAAGCCGACAGTAACAACAAGCTTCAAAAAAAGCTGCGAAAAAATTACCAGATTAAATTCATTTTAATGTACTTGTGGACTTTACAAACACACAGGAGGCATTGGTCCATAGAGAACTGGATAACCACAGTCCTGAGATGTTAATGAGAGAGAGAGAGAGAGAGAGACCAGAGAGAGAGAGAGAGACCAGAAAGAGAGAGAGAGAGACCAGAGAGAGAAAGAGAGAGACCAGAGAGAGAGAGAGAGAGAGAAAAGAGAGAGAGAGAGAGACCAGAGAAAGACCAGAGAGAGACCAGAGAGAGAGAGAGAGAAAAGAGAGAGAGAGAGACCAGAGAAAGACCAGAGAGAGAGAGAGAGAGAGAGACCAGAGAGAGAGAGAGAGGAAAGAGGGACCAGAGAGAGGCACAGAGGTGATGAAGGAGGTCATCAGGGAGGTCCCACCCCTCTCAGACCTCCTCCTCCCTCTCCCCTCTCTGACCTCCTCCCTCCTCTATCGAACCTCCTCAACCCTCCTCTCTCAGACCTCCTCCTCCCTCCTCTCTCAGACCTCCTCCTCCCTCCTCTCTCAGACCTCCTCCTCCTATTCTATCCAGCTGCAGATTACCCAGAGAGGGGCCACGCTTTGGAGGAAGTGTTGAATTGGAATCCGATGTGTAGCTGCGCTCCCTGTGGACTGGTGCGGAGCCGATCGATGCGAGCTAACAGCTGAAGCCTGCGCGAGGGTGAGGAGGGGGAGGAGGAGCGGGGGAGACGAGGGGGAGACGAGGGGGAGACGAGGGGGAGACGAGGGGGAGACGAGGGGGAGACTTCTTCCATGTGACAGTGATCCACATTTAGCAGAGTTTAGAGAACTGTTCAGTGGAGCTCATTTCATTTGTACTCAGAGGCCCAACAATTGTTACTGCACCTGTCTCCATGGTCTCTGTGTCAGTATGTGAGGAGGAGGTGAAGGAGGTGAAAGAGGAGGTTTTGGAGGAGGGGATGGAGGTGAAAGAGGAGGAGAAAGAGAAGGTGATGGAGGGGATGATGGAGGTGACTGAGGAGGTGATGGAGGTGAAAGAGGAGATGATGGAGGTGAAAGAGGAGATGATGGAGGTGAAAGAGGAGGTGATGGAGGTGAAAGAGGAGGTGATGGATGAGATAGCGGAGGTGAAAGAGGAGATGATGGAGGTGAAAGAGGAGATGATGGAGGTGAAAGAGGAGGTGATGGAGGTGAAAGAGGAGGTGATGGAGGTGAAAGAGGAGATGATGGAGGTGAAAGAGGAGATGATGGAGGTGAAAGAGGAGAAGATGGAGGTGAAAGAGGAGATGATGGAGGTGAAAGAGGAGATGATGGAGGTGAAAGAGGAGATAGCGGAGGTGAAAGAGGAGATGATGGAGGTGAAAGAGGAGGTGATGGAGGTGAAAGAGGAGATAGCGGAGGTGAAAGAGGATGATGGAGGTGAAAGAGGAGATGAGGAGGTGAAAGAGGAGATGATGGAGGTGAAAGAGGAGGTGATAAGAGGTGAAAGAGGAGTGATGGAGGTGAAAGATGATGGAGGTGAGGAGATGATGGAGGAGGATGTGGAGGTGAAAGAGGGTGATGGAGGTGAAAGAGGAGTGATGGTAGGTGAAAGAGGGAATGATGGAGGTGAAAGAGGAGATGATGGAGGTGAAAGGAGGATGGTGGTGAAAGAGGAGGTGATGGAGGTGAAGAGGAGGTAATGGAGGTGAAAGAGGAGGTATGGAGGTGAAAGGAAGGAGAGGAAGATGGAGGTGAAAGAGGAGGATGAGGTGAAAGAGAGACAGGGAGGGAGGAGGTAGATGGAGGTGAAAGAGGAGGTGATGGAGGTGACAAGAGGAGTGATGGGAGGTGAAAGAGGAGGTGGTGATGGTGGGTGAAAGAGGGATGGGGTGGTGGGTGGAAGGTGGGGTGGGAGAGGATGGTGAGGGAGGTAGGAGTAGAGGAGAGATTGGTGGTGGGGTGGGGGTTGTGGTGTGGGGTGGGGTGTGGGGGTGAGGATTGTGGGTGAAGGTGTGGATTGGTGGTGAGGAGGTGATGGAGGTGAGGGGGGGGGTGTGGTTGGTGGGGTGGGTGTAGGTGGGTTGGGGGGTGGGGGTGGTTGTGTGGGTTGTGGGGTGGTGTGGGGTGGGGGGGTTGGTGGGGGGTGGTTGTGGGGTGTGGTGGGGGGTGGTGTGGGTGGTGGGGTGTTGGGTGGGGTGGGGTGGGGTGTGGGTGGTGGGGGTGTGGTGGGGGGTGGGTGTGGGGTGTGGGGGTGGGGTGGGGTGTGGGGGTGGGTGGGGTTGTGGGTGGTGGTGGGGTGTGGGGTGGTGTGGGGTGGGTGGTGGGGGTGGTTGGTGGGGTTGGGGGTGGGGTGGGTGGGGTGGTGGGGGTGGGTGTGTGGGGTTGGTGGGTGTTGGGGGGTGGGGTGGGGTGGGGGTGGTGGGGTTGTGGTGGGTGTGTGGGGGGGGTGGGTGTGGGGTGGTGGGTGTGGGGGTGGGGTGTGGGTTGGTGGGGGGTGGGTGGTGGGGTGGTGGGGGGTGGTTGGGGGGTGGGGTGGTGGGGGGGTGTGTGGGGGTGGGTGGGGGTGTGTGGTGGGTGGGTGGGGGTTGTGGTGGGTGGGGGTGGGTGTGGGTGTGGTGGTGGGGTGTGTGGGGTGGGGTGGTGGGGTGTGGGTGTGTGGGGGGTGGGTGGTGGTGGTGGGTGGTGGGGTGTTGGTTGTGGGGTGGGGGGTGTGGTGTGGGTGGGGGTGGGGTGGTGGTGGGGTGGGGTGGGTGTGGTGGGGTGTGGGTGTGGGTGGGTGGGGTGGGGTGTGTGTTGGGGGTGGGGGGTGTGGTGGTGGGTGGGGTGTGGTGGTGGGGTGGTGGGGTGTGGGTGGGGGTGTGGTGTGGGGGGTGGGTGGGGTTGGGTGTGGGTGGGGTGGGGGGTTTGGTGGGTGGGTGGGGTGGGTGGGGTGTGTGGGTGGGTGGTTGGGGTGTGGGGTGGTGGGGTGTTGGGTGGGGTGTGGTGGGGTGTGGGGTGTTGGTGGGGGTGGTTGGGGTGGGTGGTGGGGTGGTGGGGTTGGGTGGGGGGTGGTGGGTGGGGGGGTGTGGTGGGGGTGGGTTGTGGGTGGGGGGGTTGGGTGGTGTGGGTGGGGTGGTGGTTGTTGGGGTGGTGGTTGGTGGGGTTGTGGGTGGTGGGTGGGTTGGTGGGGTTGGGGGTGGTGGGTGGGTGGGGGTGTTGTGGGTGGTGTGGGGTGTGGGTGGGTGGGGGGTGTGTGGGGGTGGTTGAGTGGGGTGGTGGGGTGGTGTGGGGTGTGTGGTGGGGTGTGGTGGGGGGTGTGGGGTGTGGGTGGTGGGGGTGTGAGGAGATGATGGAGGTGAAGAGAGAGAGGTGAATGGAGGTGGAAAGGAAAGGAGGTGATGGATGAGGTGAAAGAGGAGATGATGGAGGTGAAAGGAGGATGAGTGATGGAGGTGAAAGAGAAGGTGAGGAGGTGAAAGAGGAGATGATGGAGGTGAAAGAGGAGGTGATGGAGGTGAAAGAGGAGGATGATGGAGGATGGAGGTGAAAGAGGAGATGATGGAGGTGAAAGAGGGAGATGGAGGTGATGAGGTGAGGTGAAAGAGGAGGTGATGGAGGTGAAAGAGGAGATGATGGAGGTGAAAGAGGAGATGTGAGGTGAAAGAGGAGGGTGGAGGTGAAAATGGAGGAAAGAGATGATGGAGGTGAAAGAGGAGGTGATGGAGGTGAAAGAGGAGGTGATGGAGGTGAAAGAGGAGGTGATGGAGGTGAAAGAGGAGGTGATGGAGGTGAAAGAGGAGATGATGGAGGTGAAAGAGGAGATGATGGAGGTGAAAGAGGAGGTGATGGAGGTGAAAGAGGAGGTGATGGAGGTGAAAGAGGAGATGATGGAGGTGAAAGAGGAGATGATGGAGGTGAAAGAGGAGATGATGGAGGTGAAAGAGGAGGTGATGGAGGTGAAAGAGGAGGTGATGGAGGTGAAAGAGGAGATGATTGTAAGTAGTAGTAAGTAATCTTTATTTATATACCGCCTTTTCACTGCAGATCTGAGTCTCAAAGCGGTTTACAATTGTTTATTTTTTGGGCACTTGTCCTCTCACTCCACACAGAGATGGGAGCAGGGTCGCCAGTACAGGAGGCACATGCCAGAACTATTGTACATATTTTTAGTGGTAGGGGAAACCGGAGTACCCGGAGGAAACCTACGCAGACACGGGGAGAACATGCAAACTCCACTCAGAAAGGCCCTGGTCCGACCGGGATTCGAACCCAGGACCTTCTTGCTGAGAGGCGAGAGTGCTATCCACTCAGCCACCGTGCCGCCCATATACTGTATAGTGGCAGCATATATATGCCACAGTAGCATATATATATATATATATATATATACACATACATACATACATACATACATACATACATATATATATATATATATATATATATGTATATATTTCATTTTCAACCCCTTTGTCCATTTCTGGGTCGGGGGGGTGGCAATGTGAGCTGCCTCCCAATGCTCATAGCACCAGTCCCTCGCTGATCTTCTGCAGGGGGTGAGTCCACAGGAAGATGGCTGCTCCGTCAATTGTGAAACAGCCTTGATCTTTCAGCGGGGGGCTAAGTGTCTTGCCCAAGGACACAACGACAGCAGTCATCAGTGGGAGCAGTTGGAGTAGGTCCCATGGTGGGAATCAAACTCACAACCTTCAGGCCCAAAGGCCAATGCTCTACCAACTGAGCTACTGTCGCCCCCTATATATGTATATGTATATATATATATATATACATACATATATATACAGTATATATATATGTATATATATATATATATATATCTGTATATATACATACATATACACAAGGATTGGTGACGATCAGGACACTTTAGCATTCTACAACATGTGTTTCTTCTGTGTGTGCTTTATATTCTTCATGTGTTTTAACTGTTGATTCTCTGACCTGTGTTGGTGATTTCAATGGTTTTGTTAAGTCCTCTGAGATGACTTCTGTTGTGACCTAGGGCTATACAAGAATAAATTGTATTGTATTGTATTGTGTATTGTATATATATACAGTATATATATATATATATATATATATATATATATATATATATATATATATATATATATATATATATATATATATATATATATATATATATATATATATATATATATATATATATATATATATATATGTATGTATACATACATACAACTTCCACTTCAGAGTCCAGTCTGCGCCCGCTGAGCAGATCAAACTCTTGCTCTGCAACAGTAATTATCATATTTACTCAATCACTGACCTCTTCAGTCTTTCTGTGGTAAAGTTAGTCTTCTGTAATTATGTTTTAACCTCATTTATTCAAATTTAATATTCTTAAACTCATGTCGCACTAAATGACCCAAGGCCACAGATTGTGATGTCACATTATCTGTAAAAAGAAATTGAATCTGACGTTTTACCTCTTTATTTCCAGCAGCAGCGTCGCTCAGATCCACACACATAACTCCGCCCCCATGACAGACTCCGCCCCCTGCAACAGGAGAGGCCTTTTAATTAGAGGCTTGCTGCTAGAACCCACACACAGAACCTAAAGCCTGGTTCACACGAGACGATTTAAAATTAAATTAAAATTGTCGGCCGATTTTTCTCTGTGTGAGACCCCACACAGGGAGATAAAAAATCACGGGTCTAACCACTTTGGTCGTACAGTGTGTGGTGCGCAGCCACACGGCAAAAATCACGCAAACCACACACGAACCCCCCCCCCCCCCACCGAGTATTCACAGATCAGACGGAAATCTCAGGTCTCGCGAGATCAAGCGTGACTTCAGAGTAAACACACATGGCGGACGAAGAGGATGCATTGGCGATAGTTTGTTTTTATCGGAGAAAAGACGTAATCAAAAGAAAAGGCGATGGTCAAAGAAGTGTAGACAACACGAGCATGGACTATACTTGCTACATCGTGATGTGGAGGCGTTTCCTCACCGCCTCGTCTCGTCTTCTGATTGGCTACACGCCGCAGTCATGGCAACGCGCACGTCTGTCCTCGGGGGACACCACACACGAAGAGAAATCGGGCCAAAACAATCCAACATGTTGGATATCCCCGATTTGAGATCGGGAGCAGTCCCGATGTCCTTCCGAGCGACGAGTGCAGTCTTAACACACCACACACGGCAGGATAATCTGTAAGATTTTGTTACGGAAATCGGAGCGTTTCTTAAGATTGTCGTAAGGGGTAAATCGGGTCTAAATCGGCCTAAATATCCTGCCGTGTGAACCAGGCTTAACACACACACACACAGCACCTAACACACACACACACACAGAGCACCTGACAGACACACACACACAGAGCACCTGACAGACACACACACACACACAGCACGTAACAGTGAATGATGTCAACTGGAAACTGTGCCAAGACTCTGTGCAGACTGTCATGGTTGGAGTGGAATTGGGTGTGCTGCAGGGATCGGTACTCGGACCGATTCTCTTCACACTCTGCATTGTGTTGAGATGAAGGTTGAGATGGGTGTAAAATGTACACCACCTCCAGAGTCGGCATATATTTCGTACCGTACGCCCACGTCCAGACTGTTAATGCCGAAAAGTGTAATTCTTTTGCACGTTTCATAAATGAGGTCAATGTCTCTTCTCCTTCATTCACTCCATACACGGTGGTGATAAATTACCACTGTAGCCACAGCTGCCCTGGGACACACTGACAGAAGCAAGGCAACCAGTTTGTGCCATCGGCCCCTCCAACCACCACCAACATCAGACTCATTCTAATGTGGGGGAAGTGTCTTGCCTAAGAACACATCCATAGTTTGGCACTTTACAGCTGCAGCCGCCCCACTGTGACACCTGCTGTTCCCAGAGGTCTCCCATCCCAGAATTAACCAGGCCCTGCCCTGCTTAGCTTCAAACCTCTGACAGGATCTGGCTGTCTCCTGCACCTATGACCATTCACATGAGCTCCTGATCCAGCTCCCTGACTTCCCAAACAAACGTTTTCAGAATTATTTTTTGCATCTTAGGGCAACAGTGGCTCAGTTGGAAGAGCATTGGCCTTTGAGCCATGAGGTCGTAGGACGACCTAGAATGAGTCTGGTGTGTGTGTGAATGGTTGGTGGTGGTGGGAGGGGCCGATGGCACAGACTGGTTGCCTTGCTTCTGTCAGTGTGCCCCAGGGCAGCTGTGGCTACAGTAGTTTATCACCACCGTGTTTGGAGAGAAAGAATAATGATGTTCTTCCAGTCTCTTTTTGAATCTTTGGGCCGAGATTTGAGGCTGGTTCTGTATTTCACTTCCTTTGGTATAATCTTAAAGTTGATAAAGTTTGTTTGGATTAAAAACTTTTGAATTAATTGTGATTTTTTGCTGTATTGGTCAAACAGTGGTATTTGAGTCCCACCATCCCCCACCACCCAGGGGCCTCCTCCGACAGCTGTGCCCAGTCTCCTGCCCTGATCCCTGGGTTAGGGACAGGGGCAGGTGGGCTGGTGTGTGTGTGTATGTGTGTGTGTGTGTGTGTGTGTGTGTGTGTGATCCCAGCTGTTCCTGCCGCCACACCACACCAGGGAATGGAACTACAGACCTGTGGGGGATCAGCAGCTGTTGAGGCTCAGAAACTAAGTGCTTTGTCCTTTGTTTCTTGGACGGATGTGAATTCTGATAAAATCCTGTGTTTTAAAATCGTGTTCGACAGTGTTCCTCATAATAAGTCTATTTTTCCGATCTCTCTCTTCCTCTTGTTTTAGGACTATCTTTAACACTAGAACTCCCAGAGCAGTCAATTTGACGACTTTTAGTCTCGGCTTTAGGTTTAAATACTCAGCTCGTCTACATTTTTGATCTTCATAACTTTGTGACTGTTTCTGTTTCTTTATTCTCTATGTCTTTATTATTAAATTATCTACCTTAATTTGAAATGGAGAGAAGTGGAGAAGAGCAAGTGCTAGTAACCATAGCAACATACTGTTAACGTGCTAACATTGCTAACATTAGCCTTTCCACAAACTGTCATTCCTGTATTTCAGTGATATTCACGGCTTTCCGCATCAATGAAAAAGTGATTTGAGGTGAATTTGATTAAAGCTGACGTTAAACTCACTAACTTTAAAGAAAGTCATTAATTTAAATGGGAGCAGTCAAAATGACGGTTCTGGAAGTTCTACTAGTTTCATACGTTCGGGAGTGCGGGAGTTGCTCCTCTCTCTCCCTCTCTCTCTCTCTCCCACTCCCTTTCTCTCTCCCTCTCCCTCTCCCTGTCCCACTCCCCCTCTTTCTTTCTCTCTCTCTCCTCACTCTCTCTCACTCTCTCCTCATCTCTCCCTGTTCTCTCTCCTTACCTCACCCTCTCTCCATCTCCCGCTCTCTCTCTCCTTCTCGCTCCTCATCTCTCCCTCTTTCTCCCCTTCTCTCCCTCCCTCGCCTACCCTCTCTCCCTCCCTCTCTCCCCCTCTCTCCCTCCCGCTCCTCCTCTCTCCCCCCTTCTCTCCCTCCCTCTCCTCTCCTCCACAGTGCAGTGGTACCCTCTGTTTGTTTGTGTGACTTTGATTCCTCTCTTCATATCATGCGCTCTGATTGGTTAATCCATCAGTAAGCCCCGCCCCGCTGTGGGCCTCACACCTGTGGCTGTCCGTCAAACGTGATGTGAAGAAACAGCTTGGACAAGACTGGACTTAATCCCACGGTTTAGCCCTTCACTGAACATGTGCCATTCTTCAGAATAATGTAACAGCCCTGGGTCTACAGTCTCAGTCCTGGATCTACAGCCTCAGTCCTGGATCTACAGCCTCAATCCTGGATCTACAGCCTCAGTCCTGGGTCTACAGCCTCAGTCCTGGATCTACAGCCTCAGTCCTGGGTCTACAGCCTCAGTCCTGGATCTACAGCCTCAGTCCTGGGTCTACAGCCTCAGTCCTGGATCTACAGCCTCAGTCCTGGATCTACAGCCTCAGTCCTGGGTCTACAGCCTCAGTCCTGGGTCTACAGCCTCAGTCCTGGGTCCACAGCCTCAGTCCTGGGTCTACAGCCTCAGTCCTGGGTCTAGAGCCTCAGTCCTGGATCTACAGCCTCAGTCCTGGGTCTACAGCCTCAATCCTGGATCTACAGCCTCAGTCCTGGATCTATAGCCTCAGTCCTGGGTCTACAGCCTCAGTCCTGGGTCTACAGCCTCAGTCCTGGGTCTACAGCCCCAGTACAGTGGTGATGATGATTTGGAAAGACCGTCTGTTTTCTGTTTTATATTTATCCATTGAATGAGTCATGCGAGGTTTTAAATTCTTTCGTGTCTTTTGCCGCTTTTCTACAGTCAGGGTACGGTACGGCCTCTCTATCAGTTTTGCACATCGAGAGACTGGAATTCTTGCCCATTCTTCCTTGCAAAACAGCTCGAGCTCAGTGAGGTTGGATGGAGAGCGTTTGTGAACAGCAGTCTTCAGCTCTTTCCACAGATTCTCGATTGGATTCAGGTCTGGACTTTGACTTGGCCATTCTAACACCTGGATACGTCTATTTGTGAACCATTCCATTGTAGATTTGGCTTTATGTTTTGGATCATTGTCCTGTTGGAAGATAAATCTCCGTCCCAGTTTCAGGTCTTTTGCAGACTCCAACAGGTTTTCTTCCAGAATGGTCCTGTATTTGGCTCCATCCATCTTCCCATCAATTTTAGCCATCTTCCCTGTCCCTGCTGAAGAAAAGCAGGCCCAAAGCATGATGCTGCCACCACCATGTTTGACAGTGGGGATGGTGTGTTCAAGGTGATGAGCTGTGTTGCTTTTACGCCAAACATATCGTTTTGCATTGTGGCCAAAAAGTTCGATTTTGGTTTCATCTGACCAGAGCACCTTCTTCCACATGTTTGGTGTGTCTCCCAGGGGGCTTGTGGCAAACTTTAAACAAGACTTTTTATGGATATCTTTGAGAAATGGCTTTCTTCTTGCCACTCTTCCATAAAGGCCAGATTTGTGCAGTGCACGACTGATTGTTGTCCTATGGACAGACTCTCCCACCTCAGCTGTAGTTATCTGCAGTTCATCCAGAGTGATCATGGGCCTCTTGGCTGCATCTCTGATCAGTCTTCTCCTTGTTTGAGATGAAAGTTTGGAGGGACGGCCGGGTCTTGGTAGATTTGCAGTGGTCTGATATTCCTTCCATTTCAATATAATTGCTTGCACAGTGCTCCTTGAGATGTTTAAAGCTTGGGAAATCTTTTTGTATCCAAATCCGGCTTTAAACTTCTCCACCACAGTATCTCGGACCTGCCTGGTGTGTTCCTTTGTCTTCATGGTTCTCTCTGCGCTTTAAACAGAACCCTGAGACTATCAAAGAGCAGGTGCATTTATACGGAGACTTGATTACACACAGGTGCATTCTATTTATCATCATCAGTCATTTAGGACAACATTGGATCATTCAAAGATCCTCACTGAACTTCTGGAGCGAGTTTGCTGCACTGAAAGTAAAGGGGCCGAATAATATTGCACGCCCCACTTTTCAGTTTTTTATTTGTTAAAAAAGTTTAAATTATCCAAGAAAGTTTGTTCCACTTCACGATTGTGTCCCACTTGTTGTTGATTCATGACAAAAAATTAAAATATTATATCTTTATGTTTGAAGCCTGAAATGTGGCGAAATGTTGAAAGGTTCAAGGGGGCCGAATACTTTCGCAAGGCACTGTATAATGTATGTATTGTAAGTAGAAGTAAAAGTATGTGGAGGAAATCGTACCTTTTGAACCCTTTTCTGCAAAGTCCTGATACAATCACAGATTTATTAAAAACAAAAGTAAAGTGCAAAACCAACAGTTTACAAAGTCCAAAGTACGTTTGTCTGAGACCAGGTCCAGACCAGGTCCAGATGAGGAGAAAGTTAAGTCTCCGGTCACTTGTTGGTAATCTCCTCACTTGTGGGAAGGGATTCTCAAACAAACAAATATACACACAACAACAAGCACAAAACAGAAACACATTGTGGCAAAGTGGAGGCTGCTACACGCTCCGAAAATAATGACCAATTAAATAAAAGAAAGAAAAACCAGCAACGCCAGGGCAGAGTGCCCAAAATAAAATAAAAATAAAAGCGCTCTAAGGCGCACAAGTTCGTTCAATCATTAAGAGGCATAGGCAGACAGTCTGTATACTGATTTATTATTCTACATTATGTTTAGTTCATTTATAGTGATTCACATTTACATTCACACGAGCCCATCTTCCAGTCACGATGGACTCAAGAGCACAGGTGAACACAAAAAGAATCAGAACAGGGAGAGAAACGAGAGACAGCAGGAGAAACAGCGGTGGGCCGCGATGTGGCCAGTCCTCCAGCCTATGGGTAAAATAGAGTTAACTTACGAGTAACCACAATGCTGTTAGTGTGTGCAGCTAGAACCTACTTTCATACAGCAATTGCCGAGCACACACCCTTGACGGGTGACGGTTTAAAGGCCAGACCCACAGCCGGCTATGACACACTCGGACCCCAACGAGGGTGGCCAGACGCCAAAGTGACAGAACAGCATGGCTACACAGAAGCAGGGTTCGCGGGGCACAATGCCGCACCGCGGCACTGGAGCAGGAGAAGGGCTGGCGCAACGACCCACAGGAGACGGAAGTGCAGAGGTAAACAAGAGAGGCGACTCGAGGCTATTTATACTGTCTCTATGCGCCCTCTACTGGACAGAAATATGGTGGCCAAGACCAGCTTGCCACAACATGAAAGAACCAAATACAGCGCAGTAGAACTGGAAGGACGTTAGCTTAGCTGCTATTGATAGCTAAATGTAGCTAGCTCACGGTGTACAACAGACAATCAAACATTTACACAGTAAATACATTTAAGTGAGAGCTTTAACGAGATACGTAGCTAACAGTTATTCCCTGATTACCACAGACTAGTCACAAATCCAGAGCTATCCATCCATTTTCTTCCCCTTAATCCATTTCTGGGTCAGGGGGGTGCCAGTCAGAGCTGCACCCAGGACACAGAGCACCAGCCCCTCACTGATCCTCCTGCAGGTGGTGAGTCCACAGGAGCTGAGATCTTTCAGTTGGGGCTTTGGGCAAAGTAGGGTTAAGTGTCTTGCCCAAGGACACACACGACAGCAGTCATCAGCATCAACAAATCCAGAGCCATCTCCCTGAAAACCTCGCTCCGTTGAGCTGCCTTTGAATTCTCTCTTTGGCCTAAAGAGAGTAACGTGTGGACCTCGTCCACCGACCGGGGTCTTTTGGGGCTTTCTGTGCAATTCCATTTCTCTGGAGTGAGGAGGGCGTTATTAAAATAGATCCATGGGAGGACGTATTGAGGCAGAGCAGCCGGTTTTAAAGATGGCGGTTGGGTTGTTTTTACCAAAGGGTCGGACTTAGCTTCCAGTGACGACACTCGTTGACCAATCAGTGAATGGCAGCCGCTGACGTCACGTCATGGTGTCGCTTCAGCCCCGACAGAACCACTGTCGAGATGGTACGAAAAAAGTACCCGGATCCTAAGCCCAACCCTAGTGGAAATGCAAAATAACTGCGGCATTTGTTACCTTGGAACCAGTGTGGGCGGGTCCCGGCTCAAAAGTGGCCAAAATGACGTGCGCTGACATGCTGCAATACCACCCCGGGCCGATGGGGGTGGACCCAGAAGAAGAATTAGCCAATGCTAACATATAGCATTAGCAGACCTCTCAAAAACGTCTTTACAGGATGGACCAAAAGTTGGCTCTTGGCCAAAAGCTCCGTTCCACATGTGTGTCAATGCTGAGTGTTCTGGACCAGTCTAGTTTACTTGCTGTGAATCTTTGAAGTCTCTCGTTCAAATGAATGGAGCTCTCGCCGGCTGAAGCATGCGCAGATGCGTTTTTTCACAATTTTCTTGTGGGCGGGACCATTCGCGGCCATTTTGGATAGCTCCAGTAGAGCACATTTTTTGGCCCATTATTTAGAACTTCTTAGCAGGGAAAACCTGCTAAGAAGTACAGATGATGGGTGAGAAACCTTCCTTTGCTTTGACTAATCCCTGTACGACTGAGGGCTTACACAAACTTATACATGCTTAAAACCTGCCTCGGGACTACGGCTGAAATACAGGATTGATGCTTAAAGTTACACTGTGTAATTTTTACAGTGAGTCCAAATGAAAAAACATGTAAATAATAACAAATGTGACCTTTTTAAGAATATTTACCTCCACCATGTTGTGGAATTGTTGTCATAGGCTTAAGATTTGACTTAGAAATGTCTCCTGGACATTTCTAAGTTAAAGACTCTCTGTGTTTGCACCATCTTGCTCAGTGGCTGATAAGGGACAAAAAGGAGTTTGAGCAGGAGTTGGGACCACTGTCAAAGACCACATATTGTTCTACAAAGCCACTGCAGAACCGGAGATTACAAAATATGGTCTCAACGCTAATAAAAACTACACAGTGTACCTTTAAGGAAACAGTGTTGATAAATTTGCAACGTCCCAACTCAATAAATGAATAACTGAGATGGATCCAGGGCTCTCCACATTCATCATGTGTGTGGATTATATTCACATTTATGGACATTGGTCTCTGCTCCTGATGGACCCATGGATCTGTTTGTTATCATTGCATTTCCTGTGTTTGATTCTCTGATCTGTGATGGAGAATCGACAGCTTTGGAAAGTCCTCCGAGAAAACTACTGTTGTGATTTTGATCGATACACAAATAAATTGAATGTAAGTGAATTGGACCAGATTCAAAGCTCGTGTAAATCCTCTGTGTCACTGCCTTTGGATCCAGACCAAGAACCTTCAGAGCTGCTCACTGCTGTTTCCACCAAGTCTATATCACTGCTGAAGGACGTGAAGAGGAAGAGGCAGAGGCAGAGGGAGAGAAAGACGCAGAAGAAGACGCAGAAGAAGAGAGCGAGGAAAAGGAATAGGCAAAGGAAGAGGGAGAGGAAGAGGGAGAGGAAGAGGAAAACGCAGAGGAAGAGGGAGAGGCAGAGGGGGAGGAAGAGGAAGAAGGAGAGGCAGAGGGAGAGGAAGAGGAAGAAGGAGAGGCAGAGGGAGAGGAAGAGGAAGAAGGAGAGGCAGAGGAAGAGGAAGAGGCAGAGGGAGAGGCAGAGGAAGAGGAAGAAGTAGAGGAAGAGGGAGAGGAAGGGGCAGAGGGAGAGGAAGAGGAAGAAGGAGAGGCAGAGGAAGAAGTAGAGGCAGAGGAAGAGGGAGAGGAAGTGGCAGAGGAAAAGGAACAGGCAGAGAAAGAGGGAGAGGGAGAGGAAGAGGCAGAGGAAGAGGAAGAAGGAGAGGCAGAGGAAGAGGGAGAGGCAGAGGGAAAGGAAGAGGCAGAGAAAGAGGGAGAGGGAGAGGAAGAGGCAGAGGGAAAGGAAGAGGCAGATGAAGAGCAAGAGGTAGAGGCATAGGAAAACGCAGAGGAAGAGGGAGAAGCAGAGGAAGAGGGAGAGAGGAAGAGGCAGAGAAAGATGCAGAGGAAGAGAAAGATACAGAGGAAGAGGCAGAGGAAGATGCAGAGGAAGAAGAGGCAGAGGAATAGAAGAGGAACGCAAAGGAAGACTGGGACCAAGCTCTGTCACCATCCAGGCGAACACATGAGCCTCTGGTCTGTGGTGTGACCCCTGTGCTGTGAGTGAAGCACCTCCATTGTGTCCTGTAATGAATTGAAACCCAAAACCACAAAGAGACCAGGGAGGGCCAAATTGAGAGCCAAAGAGAGAGACTAGAATGAGACCACAGAGAGCTTTTACTAATGTATTCCAATGTAGTGTTACTGCAAATGGCGAATAAAATGAATCTGAATCTGAGAGAGACCAGAGAGAGACCAGAGAGAGACTAGAGAGAGACCAGAGTGAGACCAGAGTGAGACCAGAGAGAGACCAGAGAGAGACTAGAGAGAGACCAGAGAGAGACCAGAGAGAGAGACCAGAGAAAGCTCACTGTGTGAAAACCTGCACTACTATTGACACTGTTTCCAATTGACACGTGTCACTTTTGTTGTACATAATTATTGTCACTTTTATTGTACATAAATCCTGCATGTAACATGTTTGCACATTTCCTCCTTTTGCACAATCTGAGTGTCTCTATCCATGCCAAATGTGACATGTACATTTCTCCTCTGTGAGATAAATAAAGCTTATCTTATCTTATCTTATGTTTGAAACCTGGAGAAGTGACTTGAAGGAGAGTTCTTGGTCAATAATGACTCCCAGATTCCTCACAGCGTTGCTAGGGGCAACGCTAACGTTATGGATTATGTGATAGTTTAGGGCCATCCTAGTTTTTATGTTTTAGTTTTTCTAATGGATTTCTCTGGTTTGGTTTCATAAACAGGTGACGCTGAGTCTCTGCTGCAGTAGTTTATTTTGTGTTTTCGACTGTCTCAAGGTAGCAGATAAATGTTATTGATCAGACTTATTTCAGATTTCAGACTTTGATGTTTGCGGCGGTCTGCAGTCTGCACTCAGTTGTCCAGGTGAGAGACCAGAGAGAGAGAGAGAGAGAGACCTGAGAGATAGAGAGAGACCTGAAAGAGAGAGAGAGAGCAGAGAGAGACTAAAGCGAGGGACTGGAGAGAGACCAGAGAGCGACCAGAGAGAGTGACCGGAGAGAGAGACCAGAGAGAGAGAGCAGATAGAGACTAAAGAGACACTAGAGAGAGACCAGAGAGAGACCAGAAAGAAAATACATAGAGAGATCAGGGAGAGACCAGAGAGAGAGACCGGAGAGAGAGACCAGAGAGAGAGACCAGAGAGAGAGACCAGAAAGAGACCAGAGAGAGAGAGCAGATAGAGACTAAAGAGACACTAGAGAGAGACCAGAAAGAAAATACATAGAGAGATCAGGGAGAGACCAGAGATAGAGACCAAAGATAGAGACCGAAGATAGAGACCAGAGAGAGAGACCAGAGGGAGACTAGAGAGAGATCAGGGAGAGACCAGAGATAGAGACCAAAGATAGAGACCGAAGATAGAGACCAGAGAGAGAGACCAGAGGGAGACTAGAGAGAGAACAGGGAGAGACCAGACAGAGAGACCAAAGATAGAGACTGAAGATAGAGATCAGAGAGAGAGACTAGAGGGAGACTAGAGAGAGACTCGAGAGAAAGCCTCTCTCTGGTCGCGAGAGACCAGGTCTCTTTGTCTAGTCTCTCTCTCTGATCTATTTTCATTTAACCTTTATCTAACCAGGAAAGTCCCATTGAGATTAAGAACCTCCTGGTCAAGAGGCAGAGAGAAAGACCAGACCAGAGCAGAGACCAGAGAGAGAGACCAGATAGAGACTAAAGAGAGACTAGACAGAGACAAGAGAGAGACCAGAGAGAGACTAAAGAGAGACTAGACAGAGACAAGAGTGAGACCAGAGACCAGACCAGAGCAGGGACCTGAAACGCAAGACTGTACAACGAACAGTCTCCACAGGTGACACACAGAGGACAAATGCAGTCCGTGCTGTCGGTGCGGGGTCTGGCTGCAGTTGTCGAGGCCTTCTGTTCCCGGCACAGTCCAGTCCAGTCCAGGTCGGCCTTTGTTGTTGGTCCAGCGGAGGCCGAGGCTGCGAACAGAAGTGCCACATTCCAGCGTCTATATTTACAGCTGTGAAGGAGCTGTGGCCGCTGCCCTCTGATAAAGTCACGAGTGAGTCCAAAACCAGGGCCTCAGAATAGACTATTGATAACGGCTTCCTCTGCACGCGCTCAGTGAGGGTCAGTCCTGAGGGGGGCAGAGAGAGCTGGGCTGTGATTGGCCACGAGTGAGTTTCCTTATATAAGTTTATTATGTAGTTCTCCCAAATGCGGGCCGGCTTCTCCGCTGGAGCAAAACGCCTCTTAACGACTTGTTCTCCGGGTCTTAGTGGAGCGGCCGTGGTAAATGTTGTCGATACAAGCACAATCTGACTTCAAAGAGGAGGAAACACAAGGCCAGCACTAACACTGGAGTCTGCGGCGGGTTCTGTGACTGTGTGGAAGAAGAGAGAGCTTTTCCGTAATGTTTACTCTCTGAGAGAGACCAGAGAGAGACCAGAGAGAGACTAGAGAGAGACCAGAGAGAGACCAGAGAGAGACTAGAGAGAGAGACCAGAGAGAGACCAGAGAGAGACTAGAGAGAGACTAGAGAGAGACCAGAGAGAGACCAGAGAGAGACTAGAGAGAGAGACCAGAGAGAGACTAGAGAGAGAGACCACAGAGAGACTAGAGAGAGACCAGAGAGAGACTAGAGAGAGACCAGAGAGAGACCAGAGAGAGACTAGAGAGAGAGACCAGAGAGAGACCAGAGAGAGACTAGAGAGAGACTAGAGAGAGACCAGAGAGAGACCAGAGAGAGACTAGAGAGAGAGACCAGAGAGAGACTAGAGAGAGAGACCACAGAGAGACCAGAGAGAGACCAGAGAGAGACTAGAGAGAGACCAGAGAGAGGGACCGCAAGAGTCTAGCCCGGTCGTACCATACCATAGTACAAATTACATTCTGCACTAAGGTCTGGATTTGCTGCATTGACTCCGTTAACAGGTGGGAGGGGCTAACTCCTTTTGCAGATTGAAACCATTGGATCTGAGTTTACTGTGACGTATGTAATGAGCCCGAGTGAGGAAGGCATTTAGCATTTAGCCTAGCTTTAGCCATCTCCTTTGCCGCTAACGGAGCCCATGGGGAGTAGAGCCACAACATCTTTACTTCAATGACATTTACTAAACATTCCTCTTGCTCCGGCTTCAGTTTTTTGATAGAACCAGACCGGAATACTTTACTATCACATTCTTCACCAAACTACAACCAGCCCGTTTGGCACAAACTCTTCACGTCACCCACATCTAACTACAACACCCGCTCTGATTGGGCGGATGGAATTCAACCAGTTGTAATTGCAAACACAGGAACCAGACCCAGACGTCACATGCAGTGAAATGATGATTGAACGGAGTGTACGGATGGATAAGGCCAGCGAGAGTCCAGAGCGAGTCCAGAGAGAGACCAGAGAGAACTAGGGAGAGATTATAGAGAGAGGCCAGAGAGAGGCTACAGAGGGACTAGAGAGAGAGAGAGAGAGCTCAAAGAGAGAGACCAGAGAGACTAGACTCGGGTGGCATTCAGAGTTGCACCCAGTCCACAGAGCACCAGCCCCTCTCTAATCCTCCTGCAGGTGGTGAGTCCACAGGAGCTGAGATCTTTCAGTTGGAGCTTCAGGCAAAGTGGGGTTACGTGTCTTGCCAAAGGACACAACAACAGCAGGCGTCAGTGGGAGTCGTGAAGTAAGTCTTGTGGTGGGTTCGAACCCACAACCTTCAGGCTCAAAGGCCTGGAGCCTCCTCTCTCTCTGTGGCTGCAGGCGGCTCTCTGCTCCTGGTGCAGACGGCTCCTTAGATGATGCTCCTTCAGCTGGTTACTCCGAAACCTGGCCTCATACATTTACTTGGTTGCACCTATTTGACTCATTTGATGTGTGTGTCTGTGTGTGTGCATGTGTGTGTGTGTGTGCGTGCGTGTGTGTGTGCATGTGTGTGTGCGTGCGTGTGTGTACTTGATTGTGGTTGGGTGGAGTGGTCATGTTTCACATTCTAAAAACGGAAATTGCCGAGGGACGTATTTATAGCTGTGTGATTTTAATGTTTTAAGGTGTGATTTAATTTTGATGTTTTTAATTTGTATTGTGTGTGTTGATGATTTATGCCTGATGTGATATGGGTTGTGAAGTGCTTTGTGTTGCCCTGTGTAGGAAAGGCGCTCCACAAATTAAAGTTGATTGACTGACAGCTTTAAGTTCCTGATATGAGCGTGGATGAAGCTAAAAACAACTGCATGTCTGTGAGTGATGAGGGAACACAAACCTCCACCTCTCGCCCCAAAGTCTTTCTAACACACTTTCTATCAACACACAAACTCACACAATCTCACGCCTCCCTTTTCTCTCCCTCTTTCTTTGAATTCACAGACAGCACTTAAGGGCCTTTCAATTCACAAAACCTCAACCATTTTGTCATTTCTTTTCTGATGGTTTTGGGCTCTTTTGTGGCAGACTCTGGGCTGGTGCCATTGGAGGCTGTGCCCATTCTGTCAGGTGCCCAGCAGGAGAGCAGCCTAGTGTGGCAGAGCGAAGTACTAGAGAGAGGAGGAGAGAGGAGGGGAGAGAGGAGAGAGAGGAGAGAGAGGAGAGAGAGAGCAGCCTAGTGTGGCAGAGCGAAGTACTAGAGAGAGGAGGAGAGAGGAGGGGAGAGAGGAGAGAGAGGAGAGAGAGGAGAGAGAGAGCAGCCTAGTGTGGCAGAGCGAAGTACCAGAGAGAGGAGGAGAGAGGAGGGGAGAGAGGGGAGAGGGGAGAGAGGGGAGAGAGGAGAGAGAGGGGAGAGAGGGGAGAGAGAAGAGAGAGGGGAGAGAGGGGAGAGAGGAGAGAGAGGGGAGAGAGAGGAGAGAGAGGGGAGAGAGGAGAGAGAGGGGAGAGAGGAGAGAGAGGAGAGAGAGGGGAGAGAGGAGAGAGAGGGGAGAGAGGGGAGAGAGGGGAGAGAGGAGAGAGAGAGGGGAGAGAGAGAGAGAAGCCTAGTGTGGCAGAGCGAAGTACCAGAGAGGAGGGGAGAGAGGAGAGAGAGGAGAGAGAGGGGAGAGAGGAGAGAGAGGGGGGAGAGGAGAGAGAGGAGAGAGAGGGGAGAGAGGAGAGAGAGGGGAGAGAGGAGGAGAGAGGAGAGAGAGCAGCCTAGTGTGGCAGAGTGAAGTACCAGAGAGAGGAGGAGAGAGGAGGGGAGAGAGGAGAGAGAGGGGAGAGAGGAGGAGAGAGGAGAGAGAGCAGCCTAGTGTGGCAGAGTGAAGTACCAGAGAGAGGAGGAGAGAGGAGGGGAGAGAGGAGAGAGAGGGGAGAGAGGAGAGAGGAGGGGAGAGAGGAGAGAGAGGGGAGAGAGGAGAGAGGAGGGGAGAGAGGAGAGAGAGGAGAGAGAGGAGAGCAAGAAAAGCGAGGCGCGAGCGGGAGTAGAGAATGGGAGGAGAGCGAGGAGCGGGAGGAGAGAATGGGAGGAGAGCGAGGAGCGGGAGGAGAGAATGGGAGCGAGGCGAGGAGCGGGAGGAGAGAGCTGTTTGAAGTTGAGAGGCCTCTGCTCTGGGCTCCTGGTGTGGGGCTCCTGGTGTGGGGCCTGTTTGTTTACAGGGCCCTGTCACTGCAGCAGTCTGTGGCAGTGTCAGCCTGAGCTCACATCACATGAAACACACAGAAGGCTGCGTACAGTCCTCACACTCTGGAGACGCCTCACCCTCAGTCTGTCTGACATGGTTCTGTTGTTGTTTCTGCCTAAACTCAACTGTGAAATATTTACCTTACTTAAAGTAGTAGATTATATTCTGTTACATCGGACTCTCTCTCTGGTCTATTTCTGTCCTCTCTGGTCTCTGCTCTAGACTCTCTCTAGTCTCTTTCTGGTCTGTCTCTGGTCTGTCTCTGGTCTCTCTCTGGTCTCTTTCTGGTCTCTCTCTGTTCTCTCTCTGTTCTCTCTCTGGCCTCTCTCTGGTCTCTGGTCTCTCACAACATAAATAATCAAAGTACATTAAAAAGAGTGAGGAAACTTTTCAGGAAGACTGTCCCAGCAGGAGGCCAGTCCCTGGGCTCCTCAGAGTCCCAGCAGGAGGCCAGTCCCTGTGCTCCTCAGAGTCCCAGCAGGAGGCCAGTCCCCATGTGCTCCTCAGAGTCCCAGCAGGAGGCCAGTCCCTGTGCTCCTCAGAGTTGGTTCAGAGTTGGTTCATATGGCACAAACATGTCACAGATGGACTTTGAGGCCATGGAGAGACTTGTAAAGGACAGAGACCTGAGACCAGGACTATTGTGAGAGGACTTCCTGGTTCTAGTTTGGACTCGAGCTGCAGAGTGTTGAATGTACTGCAGCTACCCCATCCCCCCCCCCCCCCCACACACCCACCCCTCCTGTCCCCCGTAAACTCCGTCCCATTGAGTTAGAAGAGCCTCTCTTCTCACAGGACGCACAAGGACACACTCTCTCCGCCGTAACTCACACCGACTGTAACCGCTGTCTCCACAAACGCACACCACCGACACTTTCATAAGGCTGTACGTCAACCCTCCACAAAGGAGAGGGGGAGGAGGGGGAGGAGGGAGGGGGATTTATGGTCATTCCAGAATATAAAAAATACACAGATCTGAAATACAGTACTGCGCTCATGGTCCTTGTTACCAGAAGCATTAAACTGACCAGTTCAGCTCGGTTCATTTAACATTACACCCTCACTTTACACAACCGGACAGATCACTGTGGGGGGGTCATGGTGGGGGGGTCATAGCGTGGGCTCATGACGTCATCTGCCGAACGTTCCATTGCTAATGACTTGGATGGCCATGGATGTATGATGTTGTGTGGAGGGTGTGCTGCTAAAACCTGTCTTCACATGGACTAGAGGCCAACCGCGGTACTGCAGCCTAAATCCACATGGACTAGAGGCCAACCGCGGTACTGCAGCCTAAATCCACATAGGACTAGAGGCCAACCGCGGTACTGCAGCCTAAATCCACATAGGACTAGAGGCCAACCGCGGTACTGCAGCCTAAATCCACATAGGACTAGAGGCCAACCGCGGTACTGCAGCCTAAATCCACATAGGACTAGAGGCCAACCGCGGTACTGCAGCCTAAATCCACATAGGACTAGAGGCCAACCGCGGTACTGCAGCCTAAATCCACATAGGACTAGAGGCCAACCGCGGTACTGCAGCCTAAATCCTCATGAACTAGAGGCCAACCGCGGTACTGCAGCCTAAATCCACATGGACTAGAGGCCAACCGCGGTACTGCAGCCTAAATCCACATAGGACTAGAGGCCAACCGTGGTACTGCAGCCTAAATCCACATGGACTAGAGGCCAACCGTGGTACTGCAGCCTAAAGCCACATGGACTAACAAAAAGCACGCACAAAAAGATCTGCAAAACAGCGAGGCCGCAAAAATGACACAAAGTTGTGGATTCACCAACAACAGATCAGACAATCAAACAGAACACAAGAAATGTAATAATAACAAACACATAGGAGTGTGCGTGTGTTTAGGTGTATGTGTGTGTGTGTGTGTGTGTGTGTGTGTGTGCAAGTTTGTCTGTGTGTGTCTATGTGTGTGTATGTGGTGCATGCATAAATAGCTGTTTTTTTCCGCTCTGTCGCCATCAGTGATGAGCTCCAGTGGTTTTGTGGGACAGACACACACACACACACACACACACACACATGTACACACACACACGTACACACACACACACACACACACACCTACACACACACATACACACTCACACACACACTATTATTCTGTGGCTTATATTCAGACAATCCACTATATGTTGCATCACATCTTCACAATTTTAGCACAGCTGCCTTGGGTCAGACTGACCCTCCCTCACCTCACCCTCCCCCACCCTCCCCCACACCAGCAGAAGACCAAGTACCATGAGCAGAACCAGGACTGTGGTTATGAAGGCTGATGACGTCACACAGTAACAGCAGCTGGAGCCTGTGACCTGGACACACATAATCAATGTGGACCCAGAGGTTTCTCACTTTTCTCCCTCTGGGTTTTTAGAGTTTTAGAGCCAGAGATGATCCAGGACTCTCCACATTCAACCACATTTACAGACTTTATCAACATTCATGGACATTAGTCTCTGCTCCTTATGGACCAAAGGCTCTGTGTTTTTTCCATTTTGATTCTCTGATCTGTTGTTGGTGAATCGACAGCTTTGACGTCCTCTGAGATAACTACTGTTGTGTTTCAGGGCGATACAAACATATAATGAAGAACACACAGGATCCATCAGAGATATCCCCGCTCCCCTCACTGCAAAAAGTGATGGAAAAGTAGACAAAGGTTTCTTAAATTCTGCAAAAAGTGTCTTAATTTGAGCACATTCTGGAACAAGATTTTCCAACGGGACAAAGCAAAATGATCTTGTTTTAAAAGATACAAGAAATGAATACGATTTTTCTTGAATGAGAAAATAAAGCAACAGTTCTTGAAATAAGACTAAATAATATTACATGGACATAATAAGTTGGTATAACATCTCTAGCTTTAGCACAATAAAGAAGCTAGTATAACATCTCTAGCTTTAGCATAATAAAGAGGCTAGTATAACATCTCTAGCTTTAGCACAATAAAGAAGCTAGTATAACATCTCTAGCTTTAGCACAATAAAGAAGCTAGTATAACAATTCTAGCTTTAGCATAATAAAGAAGCTAGTATAACATCTCTAGCTTTAGCACAATAAAGAAGCTAGTATAAATCCTGTATATTCTGTACAGAAATATAGTGTTTACATCTGTACATTAGCAGCACGTCTATATCAGTGGGGGCGGGTCCCGGCTCAAAAGTGGCCAAAATGACGTGCGCTGACATGCTGCAATACCACCCCGGGCCTGTGGGGGTGGACCCGGAATAAGAATTAGCCAATGCTAACATATAGCATCTTCTCACCTATTAAAAACGTCTTTACAGGATGGTCCAAAAGTTGTCTCTTGGCCCAAAGCTCCGTTCCACATGTGTGTCAATGCTGAGGGGGGTGTTCTGGACCACTCTAGTTTAGTCGCTGTGGACTTTAGAAGTCACTCGTTTAAATGAACGGAGCTCGTGCATTTTCCAGCCCCGCGGCCATTTTGAATCACTCCATGAGAGCCCAGTTTTTGGCCCATTAGTTAGAACGGCGAAGATAGGCGTGAGTATGTCCGTTAATATATGGGCTTGTTCACACACAAAAGTGTGACAAAAGGCCAAAAATTAGATTTTAATAATCAGAAGATATTTTATGTTTTTTATGTTTCCAAGCACCTCCTCTGTCCATTAGAAGTTGCTAGAACATAACTGTTTTATACATTAGACAAGTTTCCTATAGCGGCCCTGGTTATTTTATCTAACGGACGTGATGATTTGACGGAATGAGCTTTGTGGAAGTTTGATAGGTATTTTCAGATGTCCACATTTGATTCAGAGATTCTATATTTTTTTAGAAATTTTTAGAGAAAAGAGGACGGTCCTCATCACGTCCGTTATACATTTTTCAGGGGTCATTTAATTAATTAATTAAATTTTATTTTTTTACTATTCCTTTTTATATCAAGTGATTCCCTTCTGTTGTGTTAACCATGTAAATCTTGTGGGATTTCATCTTCTGCTTTTTCAGACTGAGGACATTTTATTTTCTATGTAACTGGCGTCACAGTAGAATGGTCCAATCAGAGGCTGATTTGGTCGTTTAAAATGTTGCTAAACATTTTTATGTCAATCTTTCCTTTAGATTTTATCCACACTATCTCTTCAATGTGTCTGTGTTTGAAATCTTTTTTCCAATCTATGAAAGTAATTTTAGTTTTTAAGTTATAACCTTTTAAAGTCCAGATACTTCAATTGTCACTTTACTGTGAACACACTCATATACAGTCTATGGTCTGTATCACACATTCAGTCATTCATCCATATCTCTCAGGGCAGTGTAGCGCCCCCTTCAGGCTGACCTTGAGTGGGGCCGACCCCTGCCCTTGAGCCTGACACCTCTCTCTCAGCACAAACTCCACTGTGTGTATTTAAAGCCCCTGACCCTGACTCTGAGCCTCCGCATACACCTGTGTTTGTCTCTAATCCCAATCCTGGCCTAATCCACAGTAACTGGACTCCGGGGGTCACAGCGGTGCACCGGGGGCCCCTGGGGGCTGCGCTACTCTGGGGTATTATTATCCCCCGACAGCTGCCACATCCTGACAGGACGCGGAAAGCATTTCAGGAACGGACTTTCACAGAATCCAAATGGATGAAAATAAACTGCATTTGGTGTCATAGTAAGTAAGTAAGTAAGTTTTTATTTATATACCGCCTTTTCACTGCAGATCTGAGTCTCAAAGCGGTTTACAATTGTTAATTTTGGGCATTTGTCTCCCACTCCACACAGAGATGGGAGCGGGGCCAGTACAGGAGGCGCATGCCTGAACTATTGGACATATTTTTAGTGGTAGGGGAAACCGGAGTACCCGGAGGAAACCTACGCAGACACGGGGAGAACATGCAAACTCCACTCAGAAAGGCCCTGGTCCGACCGGGATTCGAACCCAGGACCTTCTTGCTGAGAGGCGAGAGTGCTATCCACTCAGCCACCGTGCCGCCCTGGTGGAGCCAGGGCGGCACCATGGAGCCAACATCACAATCTGGCAACCCCAGGTGTCATGAAGCCAGCATCACAATCTGGCAACCCCAGGTGTCATGGAGCCAACATCACAATCTGGCAACCCGAAGTGTCATAAAGCCAACATCACAATCTGGCAACCCCAGGTGTCATGGAGCCAACATCACAATCTGGCAACCCCTGGTGTCATGGAGCCAACATCACAATCTGGCAACCTCAGGTGTCATGAAGCCAACATCACAATCTGGCAACCACAGGTGTCATGAAGCCAGCATCACAATCTGGCAACCCCAGGTGTCATGGAGCCAACATCACAATCTGGCAACCCGAAGTGTCATAGAAGTGTCATAAAGCCAACATCACAATCTGGCAACCCCAGGTGTCATGGAGCCAACATCACAATCTGGCAAACTCAGGTGTCATGAAGCCAACATCACAATCTGGCAACCACAGGTGTCATGAAGCCAGCATCAAAATCTGGCAACCCCAGGTGTCATGGAGCCAACATCACGATCTGGCAACCCGAAGTGTCATAGAAGTGTCATAAAGCCAACATCACAATCTGGCAACCCCAGGTGTCATGGAGCCAACATCACAATCTGGCAACCCGGGTGTCATGTCAATAGAATATGGTTCAAAAGTTTAGAACAGAATCTGGTTTAAACCCTAGACAGTAAATATGAACAGACGTAGTTACGCTTATCTCCGCCGTTCAAACTAATGTGCCATCACTTTCGCCGTCTGTGTGTAGTTTCAAAATGGCCTCGGGAACTGGAAAATGTGAAATTTGGCGAGTGCCTTCAAAATTCCACAGCGACTAAACCAGACTGGTCCAAAACAATTCACCCCCCTCAGCATTGACACACATGTGGAACGGAGCTTTGGGCCAAGAGCCACTTTTGGACCATCCTGTAAAGACGTTTTCGAGAGGTAAGAAGATGCTATATGTTAGCATTGGCTAATTCTTATTCCGGGTCCACCCCCATTGGCCCAGGGTGGTATTGCAGCATGTCAGCACACGTCATTTTGGACACTTTTGAGCCGGAACCCGCCCCCTCTGGCTAAATGCTAAGTGCCTCATTCACTCGGGCTCATTACATACGTCACGGTAAACTCAAATTCAATCGTTTCAATCTGCAAAAGGAGTTAACCCCTCCCACCTGTTAACGGAGTCAATGGAGCAAATCTAGACCGTAGTACAAAATGAAATGAATACGATGGTGTGGTAAGACCAGGTTTGCATTAGCATTGCAACCTCTGAAGAATCAGGGGACATATCCGAATGTACAATATATAAAGAGTAATTATCTTCAAAATGGAGAATAATGTTTGTCTCCTTCACCCCTCCTCTCCTCCCCCCATACCCTGCTCCTCTCCTCCTCTCCTCCCCCTGCTCCTCTCCTCCTCTCCTCCTCTCCTCCCCCTGCTCCTCTCCTCCTCTCCTCCTCTCCTCCCCTGCTCCATCCTCCCCTGTCTCTCTCTCTGTCTCTGGTCCGGACTCACAGTTAGCAGCAGAGAGAGTGCGTCCCACATAAAGACCCCCCGGGGACAGATCTGTGCCTGTGCCACGTCCCGGGACTCTGAGCAGGAAGCAGCGACTCATGAAGATTTACCACTGGCTTTAAACAACTCAGGAGGGATGAGAGAGGTCAGGGCAGAGAGAGAACGCTCTGGTTCTCTCTCTGAGGTATTAGATCAAACTGACTGTGGTTAGCACTCATGCCTCACAGTAACAAGGTCACAAATCTCTGTGTGTGGTTTTCCTCAGATCCTGATGAACTGTGCTGTCCCCGTCCTGTGTCTCTGCTCCTCCTCCTGTTTACATGTGGCCTTAAAGGATGATTCTTCAACTATGGACAAATCTGGGTCTGCTTTTTTTGGAAAATATAAAATATATTTTCAAAAATGTTGTGTTGTGTAGTGCTGTTGTTCCAATCCTATCCATTCTACTTTATTTATATAGCACATTTCATAAACACAGTTTCCAAAGTGCTGCACAATAAATTACAGTACTAAATAAAACAAATCCATAGTAAAACAGTTTTTAAAAAAAACTACCATGTAAAAAACCGCGTGTGCATGTAGGTATAAATACAAAAATAACAATAAAAAGATGGAATAATATAAAATAAAATGAAAATTAAATTAAAGCCGCAAGCGGCGTCGAACGGCCCTCGCCGCCCCACGCAACTCCCCACAGCTCGCAACTCCCCGCACCACGCTTCTCGCCCGCCCCGCGCCGCATCACCCCGCACCACGCCGCCCTGCTACAAGCCGGCCCCAACAACGCTGCACCGCGCCTCCCTGCACCACGTCGTACTAAACCGCGCTGCACTGATCCGGTCCACACCACCCTGTGCGACACCGCCCTGCACCGGTCCACACCGTACTGTGCCGCGGGGCGTAAAGGAGGCACCTCCGCGCCATGATTTGCTCCTGTAGCCATAGAACACTGTTTGTGAAATTGTAATGAATATGATAGTAAGTAAGTAAGTAAGCTTTATTTATATACCGCCTTTCACAGACCAGAGTCTCAAAGCGGTTTACAATTGTTATTTTTGGGCATTTGTCTCTCACTCCACACAGAGATGGGAGCGGGGTCGCCGAACAGGAGGCACATGCCAGACCTATTGTACATATTTTTAGTGGTAGGGGAAACCGGAGTACCCGGAGGAAACCTACGCAGACACGGGGAGAACATGCAAACTCCACTCAGAAAGGCCCTGGTCCGGCCGGGATTCGAACCCAGGACCTTCTTGCTGAGAGGCAAGAGTGCTATCCACTCAGCTATCCATGATCAGTCGGTTTGATTCCCCATGCAAAACTTTGACATCTGTAGGGGGCGCTAATGGGCCAATTTCAAACATTTCACTTTCAAATGACCTAGGCCCTGAAGTTGAACAATAGATCCAAGTTTTGTGCAAATTGAACGTTGTATGTGCAAACTAGAGCTATTTTTCTATCGTCAAAAAAGGGAAAACATTCACGCTGTGTCCCCTATGTAGAAGGCGTCCGTCACGCAGCGCCACCATTTGCATTCACAGTGAAAGCAATAGGCCCTAACCCCGTTCAGGGCTCAGGCCTAATAAAAAGGACCATACAACTCACGCAGCGTTAAAAGCCAGAGCATAAAAATGGGTCTTCAGACCAGACAGAAGGAGCAGTTTGAACATGGGGGGGCAGAGCGTTCCACAGCTTTGGTCCAGCCCCAGAGAAGGCCCTGTCCCCCCGGGTTTTAAGTCTCGTCCTCGGTACCATGAGCTGGAGCCGGCCCTCGGACCTCAGCGCGCTCCGCAGCTCAGTTAAATGTCTATTCTTTTCTGACTATTGTAACATTTTATTCCGTCACAATATAGAATCTGATGGAAATGATTGAATGTCACATTTACTACAAAATCAAAAGCTTTGTTAGCCTTGCTAATCTCTAGTGTTAGCTAATCTCTAGTGTTAGCTAATCTCTAGTGTTAGCTAATCTCTGGTGTTAGCTAATCTCTAGTGTTAGCTAATCTCTAGTGTTAGCTAATCTCTGGTGTTAGCAAATCTCTAGTGTTAGCTAATCTCTAGTGTTAGCTAATCTCTAGAGTTAGCTAATCTCCAGTGTTGGCTAATCTCTAGTGTTAGCTAATCTCTAGTGTTAGCTAATCTCTAGTGTTAGCTAATCTCTAGTGTTAGCTAATCTCTAGTGTTAGCTAATCTCTAGTGTTAGCTAATCTCTAGTGTTAGCTAATCTCTAGTGTTAGCTAATCTCTGGTGTTAGCAAATCTCTAGTGTTAGCTAATCTCTAGTGTTAGCTAATCTCTAGTGTTAGCTAATCTCTGGTGTTAGCAAATCTCTAGTGTTAGCTAATCTCTAGTGTTAGCTAATCTCTAGTGTTGGCTAGAGATGAGCTAACACTAGAGATTAGTGAATTAGATATTCATCAGAATGAATATCTAATGATCTAATGATATTCATCAGAATGAATATCTAATGCTTTAGTATTAGATATTTATTACGTAAATTCAAAAGAAACATAACGTGTTTGGAAATTCCAAAATATATTATTTTTAAAAAAATCTCGACTTTTTTCTTGGATTTGGGTCTGCTACCTGCTAACAATTCTACATGCTAACTCTGCTACATGGCTAACACTGCTAGATTGCTAACACTGCTATATGCTAACACTGCTATATGCTAACACTGCTAGATTGCTAACACTGCTATATGCTAACACTGCTACATGCTAACAACGCTACACACAGTCTTTGTGTGTGTTTGTGTAGAGTCTGTGTGTATGTTTGTGTAGAGTCTTTGTGTATGTTTGTGTAGAGTCTTTGTGTGTGTTTGTGTAGAGTCTTTGTGTGTGTTTGTGTAGAGCCTTTGTGTGTGTTTGTGTAGAGCCTTTGTGTGTGTTTGTGTTAATGTGTTTGGGACCAATAAAGTTTCTGACCTTGAATGTGAAGACCACAGGTGTGTCCAGCAGAGGGGACATCTCTCTGACCTCCCCCTGACTCACACTAGGGTCTGCCGTGTCACCCTGTCCCCACCCATCACTGGGGCAGGCAGGACCCCCTCTGGACCCCCTCTGGACCCCCTCTGGACCCCCTCTGGACCCCCTCTGGACCCCCTCTGGACCCCCTCTGGACCTCCTCCCGTGGCTCCAGCAGAGCCTTCCATCTGCAGATTGCCAGGAGCAGCGGAGCGTTCAGACATGCCCAAAGGTGACCTATAAGAAAATAGAGTTTTTCTGGCAGCAGACAGGAGCCGAGCAGCTCTTGGATTATGATAGATTTCCACCACAAAGCTTTTGTTGTGAGTTTTTACATTAGTGTGGTTCTGAAATGTAAGATATTGTGGATTCTGAGCTGCATGTTTCGGACTTGAAACCTCTGTTAGTTCTGTGTTTCTGCTGGACCTGCATGTATTTGTTCTGACCCACATTGTTACTAGTGTCTTTATCTGAAGTGATGACGTCTTTGTTCTCAAGCTTTGTCTTTGTCATGGTGTGGACTTTTGGATTACCAGATTTTATGTTGATTTATAGGTTATTTTCAGTGTGACTTCTCGTCTGTTTAGTTCAGAGGTGTCCAAACCGGTCCAGAGATGCTGCGGCTGCAGGTTTTTTATCCGACCCAACAAAGCAGCAAAGCAGACTCCACACATGTCCTCAAATAATCAGGTCAAGACCAGTGGGAGCCGGTCCCGGCTCAAAAATGTCCAAAATGACGTGTGCTGAGATGCTGCAATACCACTTTAGGCCAGTGGGGGTGGACCCGGAATAAGAATTAGCCAATGCTAATGTATAGCCCATTCTTTACAGGATGTCTCTCTTGGCCCAAAGCTACGAGTGTATTTTTTAGACCAGTCTAGTTTAGTCGCTGCAAACTTCAGAATGAATGGGGCTTGTGCAGCTGACGCCTGCGCAAATGCGTTTTTTCACATTTTCCAGCCCCAGCAGCCATTTTGAAACTTCCCATTGACATCAAAACTGATGGTACAATAGTTTGACTACGTCTCTTAATATTTACAGTCTATGTTTATGAAAGTCTGGATTCATAAATAACCTCCAGAACAGACACAGCTCGTTTTCAGTGTGGAGCGCCTCTCTCTGGTCTCTCTCTGGTCTCTCTCTGGTCTCTCTCCCTCTCTGGTCTCTCTCTGACCTCTCTCTGGTCTCTCTCTCTGCTCTCTCTCTGGTCTCTCTCTGCTCTCTCTCTGGTCTCTCTCTGGTCTCTCTCCCTCTCTGCTCTCTCTCTGGTCTCTCTCTCTCTCTGCTCTCTCTCTGGTCTCTCTCCCTCTCTGCTCTCTCTCTGGTCTCTCTCCCTCTCTGCTCTCTCTCTGGTCTCTCTCCCTCTCTGCTCTCTCTCTGGTTTCTCTCTGGTCTCTCTCCCTCTCTGGTCTCTCTCTGGTCTCTCTCTGGTCTCTCTCTGGTCTCTCTCCCTCTCAGCTCGCTCTCTGGTCTCTCTCTGGTCTCTCTCCCTCTCTGCTCTCTCTCTGCTCTCTCTCTGCTCTCTCTCTGGTCTCTCTCTGGTCTCTCTCCCTCTCTGGTCTCTCTCTGGTGTCTCTCCCTCTCTGCTCTCTCTCTGGTCTCTCTCTGGTCTCTCTCCCTCTCTGCTCTCTCTCTGGTCTCTCTCTGGTCGCTCTCCCTCTCTGCTCTCTCTCTGGTCTCTCCCTCTCTCTGCTCTCTCTCTGGTCTCTCTCCCTCTCTGCTCTCTCTCTGGTCTCTCTCTCTCTGTTCTCTCTCTGGTCTCTCTCCCTCTCTGCTCTCTCTCTGGTCTCTCTCTGGTCTCTCTCCCTCTCTGCTCTCTCTCTGGTCTCTCTCCCTCTCTGGTCTCTCTCTGGTCTCTCTCTCTCTCTGCTCTCTCTCTGGTCTCTCTCCCTCTCTGCTCTCTCTCTGGTCTCTCTCTGGTATCTCTCCCTGTCTGCTCGCTCTCTGCTCTCTCTCTGGTCTCTCTCCCTCTCTGCTCTCTCTCTGCTCTCTCTCTGGTCTCTCTCCCTCTCTGCTTGCTCTCTGCTCTCTCTCCCTCTCTGCTCTCTCTCTGGTCTCTCTCTGGTCTCTCTCCCTCTCTGGTCTCTCTCTGGTCTCTCTCCCTCTCTGGTCTCTCTCTGGTCTCTCTCCCTCTCTGCTCTCTCTCTGCTCTCTCTCTGGTCTCTCTCTCTCTGCTCTCTCTCTGGTCTCTCTCTCTCTCTGCTCTATCTCTGGTCTCTCTCTGGTCTCTCTCTGCTCTCTCTCTGGTCTCTCTCTGGTCTCTCTCCCTCTCTGCTCTCTCTCTGGTCTCTCTCTGGTGTCTCTCTGGTGTGTCTCTCTCTCTGCTCTCTCTCTGGTCTCTCTCTGGTCTCTCTCTGGTGTGTCTCCCTCTCTGCTCTCTCTCTGGTCTCTCTCTGGTGTGTCTCCCTCTCTGCTCTCTCTCTGGTCTCTCTCTGGTATCTCTCCCTGTCTGCTCGCTCTCTGCTCTCTCTCTGGTCTCTCTCCCTCTCTGGTCTCTCTCTGGTCTCTCTCTGCTCTCTCTCCCTCTCTGCTCTCTCTCTGGTCTCTCTCTGGTGTGTCTCCCTCTCTGCTCTCTCTCTGGTCTCTCTCCCTCTCTGCTCTCTCTCTGCTCTCTCTCTGGTCTCTCTCCCTCTCTGCTTGCTCTCTGCTCTCTCTCCCTCTCTGCTCTCTCTCTGGTCTCTCTCTGGTCTCTCTCCCTCTCTGGTCCTCTCTCTGGTCTCTCTCCCTCTCTGGTCTCTCTCTGGTCTCTCTCCCTCTCTGCTCTCTCTCTGCTCTCTCTCTCTCTCTCTCTCTGCTCTCTCTCTGTCTCTCTCTCTCTCTGCTGGTCTCTGGTCTCTCTCTCTGCTGCTCTCTCTCTGGTCTCTCTCTGGTCTCTCTCTCTCTCTGCTCTCTCTCTGGTCTCTCTCTGGTGTCTCTCTGGTGTGTCTCTCTCTCTGCTCTCTCTCTGGTCTCTCTCTGGTCTCTCTCTGGTGTGTCTCCTCTCTGCTCTCTCTCTGTCTCTCTCTCTCCTCTCTGCTCTCTCTCTGGTCTCTCTCTGGTGTGTCTCCCTCTCTGCTCTCTCTCTGGTCTCTCTCTGGTCTCTCTCCCTCTCTGCTCTCTCTCTGGTCTCTCTCTGGTCTCTATGGTCTCTCTCTGGTCTCTCTCTGGTCTCTCTCCCTCTCTGGTCTCTCTCTGACCTCTCTCTGACCTCTCTCTGGTCTCTCTCTCTGCTCTCTCTCTGGTCTCTCTCTGGTCTCTCTCTGGTCTCTCTCCCTCTCTGGTCTCTCTCTGACCTCTCTCTGGTCTCTCTCTCTGACCTCTCTCTGGTCTCTCTCTCTGCTCTCTCTCTGCTCTCTCTCTGGTCTCTCTCTGCTCTCTCTCTGGTCTCTCTCTGGTCTCTCTCTGGTCTCTCTCCCTCTCTGCTCTCTCTCTGCTCTCTCTCTGGTCTCTCTCTGGTCTCTCTCTCTCTCTGGTCTCTCTCCCTCTCTGCTCTCTCTCTGGTCTCTCTCCCTCTCTGCTCTCTCTCTGGTCTCTCTCTGGTCTCTCTCTGGTCTCTCTCTGGTCTCTCTCCCTCTCTGCTCTCTCTCTGCTCTCTCTCTGGTCTCTCTCCCTCTCTGCTCTCTCTCTGGTCTCTCTCTCTCTCTCTCTGCTCTCTCTCTGGTCTCTCTCCCTCTCTGCTCTCTCTCTGGTCTCTCTCCCTCTCTGCTCTCTCTCTGGTTTCTCTCTGGTCTCTCTCCCTCTCTGGTCTCTCTCTGGTCTCTCTCTGGTCTCTCTCCCTCTCAGCTCGCTCTCTGCTCTCTCTCTGCTCTCTCTCTGATCTCTCTCCCTCTCTGGTCTCTCTCTGGTGTCTCTCCCTCTCTGCTCTCTCTCTGGTCTCTCTCTGGTCTCTCTCCCTCTCTGCTCTCTCTCTGGTCTCTCTCTGGTCGCTCTCCCTCTCTGCTCTCTCTCTGGTCTCTCCCTCTCTCTGCTCTCTCTCTGGTCTCTCTCCCTCTCTGCTCTCTCTCTGGTCTCTCTCTCTCTCTGGTCTCTCTCCCTCTCTGCTCTCTCTCTGGTCTCTCTCTGGTCTCTCTCCCTCTCTGCTCTCTCTCTGGTCTCTCTCCCTCTCTGGTCTCTCTCTGGTCTCTCTCTCTCTCTGCTCTCTCTCTGGTCTCTCTCCCTCTCTGTTCTCTCTCTGGTCTCTCTCCCTCTCTGCTCTCTCTCTGGTCTCTCTCTGGTATCTCTCCCTCTCTGCTCGCTCTCTGCTCTCTCTCTGGTCTCTCTCCCTCTCTGGTCTCTCTCTGGTCTCTCTCTGCTCTCTCTCCCTCTCTGCTCTCTCTCTGGTCTCTCTCTGGTGTGTCTCCCTCTCTGCTCTCTCTCTGGTCTCTCTCTGGTCTCTCTCCCTCTCTGCTCTCTCTCTGCTCTCTCTCTGGTCTCTCTCCCTCTCTGCTTGCTCTCTGCTCTCTCTCCCTCTCTGCTCTCTCTGGTCTCTCTCTGCCTCTCTCCCTCTCTGGTCTCTCTCTGGTCTCTCGCTGGTCTCTCTCCCTCTCTGCTCGCTCTCTGCTCTCTCTCTGGTCTCTCTCTGGTCTCTCTCCCTCTCTGCTCTCTCTCTGGTCTCTCTCCCTCTCTGCTCTCTCTCTGGTTTCTCTCTGGTCTCTCTCCCTCTCTGGTCTCTCTCTGGTCTCTCTCTGGTCTCTCTCCCTCTCAGCTCGCTCTCTGGTCTCTCTCTGGTCTCTCTCCCTCTCTGCTCTCTCTCTGCTCTCTCTCTGCTCTCTCTCTGGTCTCTCTCCCTCTCTGGTCTCTCTCTGGTGTCTCTCCCTCTCTGCTCTCTCTCTGGTCTCTCTCTGGTCTCTCTCCCTCTCTGCTCTCTCTCTGGTCTCTCTCTGGTCGCTCTCCCTCTCTGCTCTCTCTCTGGTCTCTCCCTCTCTCTGCTCTCTCTCTGGTCTCTCTCCCTCTCTGCTCTCTCTCTGGTCTCTCTCTCTCTCTGGTCTCTCTCCCTCTCTGCTCTCTCTCTGGTCTCTCTCTGGTCTCTCTCCCTCTCTGCTCTCTCTCTGGTCTCTCTCCCTCTCTGGTCTCTCTCTGGTCTCTCTCTCTCTCTGCTCTCTCTCTGGTCTCTCTCCCTCTCTGTTCTCTCTCTGGTCTCTCTCCCTCTCTGCTCTCTCTCTGGTCTCTCTCTGGTATCTCTCCCTCTCTGCTCGCTCTCTGCTCTCTCTCTGGTCTCTCTCCCTCTCTGGTCTCTCTCTGGTCTCTCTCTGCTCTCTCTCACTCTCTGCTCTCTCTCT